CTTACTTTAATAAGTTAATCTCATTTTTACAAAGTGTATCCAAAGTTCAGCTTAATATTTAATGCAAGTTTGATTCATGTATAAAGTTGAGATGACTAGAAAGTTGAATTTGATCGAACTAAAAAAAAAAACTGAAGTCAGTAGGTTTTGAGCCCCAGAGAAGGCAAAAGAAAAGTGATCAAGCAAAAAGAAGCTATTTGTTTGTTCATCGGCTACAGTGCTGGTCTACAGAAGCAGACGGGAGTCTCAGAGTCTGTAATGGTTAAAGCTTGTAAACATAAGATCCTGCGAGAGACGAGAGGTTTTGCCCTTGAGCGAGACACTCAACCCCGGGTTACTCCACAGGGACTGAAGGTTCATGAAAGTCATGGAAAAACTCCACCTACGCCCTAATGGAGGAGCGATACATACGGATTTAAAGGGGTAGTTCACACAAAAATGAGCATTTCTTGTTAAATTACTCACCCACAGGTCATCCGAGACGTAGGTGACTTTTTTTCTTCAGCAGAACATTAAGATTTTGAGCTGAATTTGATCCTGTGGTTCTTTGTGATTCATATAATGGCAGTGAATAGTGACAGGTTTTTTTTTCAGATTCACCCTTGTGTGCTGTTGGGGATGTTTTCATCCACTCTGAGCGGATTTTAAATCTTAATGTGGCCACAACTTTCTCTGTGTTTCAGCAAATGGAATGATTTTGTGTCAAATCTCTTTCGAAGCATGTTTGGGGAAAATGCTTAGAAAAACTCAGCAATACACTCTGGGCAAATTGACTACACTTTCGTTATGTTGGGGGCTGTTTTTGCCCCATTGACTTCCATTATAATGATATTTTTTGATTGCAAAGCCATGACACTATGTGATCAGGCATTCTTGATTGTTGCTGGTTTTCTCTGTTGGTAAAAGGTCAGATTTGAGGTCAAATTCAAGACTTTTTAAGACTTTTTAAGATCCTTTTTTAAGACCATTATAAATAAATTTTAGATTTATACAGGGCTAAACATTAAGGATTTTTTTTCTAATGGGCCAGCTAGTTCTGTAAACAGTTTTTGCATTAATGAAAGATCATGTAAAGCAGGCATGTCCACACTTAGTCCTGGAGGGTTGGGGTCCTGCAAAGTTTAGTTCCAACCCCAAACAGACACACCTGGGCTATAGCTAATCAAGCTCTTACCAGGCTTTCTAGAAACATCCTTGCAGGTGTGTTGAGGCAAGTTGGAGCAAAAATCTGCAGGACACAGACCCTCCAGGACTGAGTTTGGACACCCCTGATGTAAAGGGATGTGTTGTTTTAGTTTTTTTCCCTGGTTAGGGAATTTAACTAGCAGAATATTCAGTAAATGCCAATTCCTCATAGTGTGTGAGGAGGACATTTAAGATGTTTCATTCACAGAAATATCGGAGAGTTTCATACTTAAAGAGGAAAAGATTACTAAACGGCATTTAAGAAAATATAATGGGAAAATGTAAAGCTAAAACAAGCTTCTAATATCACATGTTAAGCATGAATGCATCATTTTAAACAGTGTACATCTGATTTCAGCACCATGGACAGCGACCAACACAACAGCTCACATCGCTATAAACAGAAATTACTCATACCCCTCGCAAATTCTGACTTTAAGCTGCTTTTTTTTTAACTAGCAAGTTTTGTTTTTGACCAGAAACGACGCAGACTTGTCTGAAAAGATAATAAGACGGTGTACAAGAGGCATTAAATTTCAGATCAGATTTTGCCAGTGGTGTGCATATTATCAGACTCGACTGTACACTGTAAACCCTAATGCTGTCTTTACTTAAACAATTAAGTAAAGTTGACTGAACATAACTTAAAATTTCGCATTTTGGTCAAATCACATAAAAATATGAGTTAATTTAACTTATAAACCATGAACATGCAGAAACTTAGGATTTTGAGCTTAGTGAGCACAAAATCATAATTAATCCTTTGGAAAAACTAGGTCGTTTTCACAAATGTAGTCTTTACTGTAAAATTCTAATATGTGCAAACTTTTAAGTGCAAGGTCTTTTTTTAATCAAAAAACAAATGGCTTCAGGTATAATTATTCATTTTAACAATCTGAATAAATGGCTACTTATTTTTTGTTTTGAATTTATTTTAACATTTTTTCATAGTATATTATTGCACACACGCATGCACACACATGCATATATATACACACACACACACACACACACACACACACACACACACACACACACACACACACACACACACTGAAAACCCCAATAAGTTGACTGAACTAAATTAATTGAGTAAACTCCTTTAATTGAGTAATGGAGTCTCCCAAAGCTTGCATATTTAAGTTTATTTAACTTGCCGGTTTTGTAGACTTTACTTAAACTGTTCAGCTCACCAAACTTATTACTAAGTTAAATACTCACAGTAAGAAGGTTGCTGGTTCGAGCCCTGGCTAAGTCAGTTGGCATTTCTGTGTGGAGTTTGCATGTTCATTTTTATTTCTCAAAAATAAATTTTGCTTTGTGATTATTGGAGATTTGCATTTGTTTAGTCTTTTATTTTGCAAATATATATGGCCCTAGATCGACTCCATAGTTTGTTCTGTAGCATGTTTTTAAATGGTGGCTAATACACTGGAAAAAAATATTCAAAGATCATTCCATGGATTTACAAAATTTTGTTAAGGTAAGTGGTTGTAAAAAAATTTTCGGCTGAATTTGAACAAACTAATTAAGTTGAACATTAATAAATTTAATTTGTTTGTGCAAATTCAACCCATATAAATTGTTTGCAACATCTTTGCAGATTTAACATTTTTCAGTGTACCTCAGCAGTTTTAAAAATATGTTTTATTTCAAACCAAACTAAAATAAACAAGACTTTCTCCAGTAATAGGAAATACTGTGATAAATGTCCTTGGTCTGTTAAACATAATTTAAAAAGATCAACATTTCATCGGAAGGTGAATAATTTTGTCCGAAATTACACTAAAAATAATGCTGAGTTGTTTAAACTCAACTTTGGTTCATTTATGGGGTGACACGGTGGCTCAGTGGTTAGCAATGTTGCCTCACAGCAAGTACGCCACTGGTTTGAGTCCCAGCAAAGCCAGTTGGCTTTTCTGTGTGGAGTTTGCATGTTCTCCCTGTGTTGGTGAGAGTTTCCCCTGAGTGCTCCGGTTTCCACCACAGTCCAAAAACATGCGCTATTGGGCAAACTAAATTGGCCGTAGTGTATGAGTGTGTATGTGAATGAGAGTGCATGGGTGTTTCCCAGTAATGGGTTGCAGCTGGAAGCGCATCCGCTGCGTAAAACACATATGGATAAGTTGGCGGTTCATTCCACTTTGGCGACCCCGGATTAATAAAGGGAGTAAGCTGAAAAGAAAATGAATGAATGAATGAATGGGTCATATACGGGGTGAAGTGGTGGTTCAGTGGTTGGCACTGTCAGCTCACAGCAAGAAGGTTGCCTGTTCAAGTCCCAGCTGGTTCAATTGGCATTTCTGTGTGGAGTTTGTATGTTCTCCCCGTGTTGGTGTGGGTTTCCTCCGGGTGCTCCGGTTTCCCCCACAGTCCAAAAACATGTGGTACAGGTGAATTGATTAAACTAAATTGGCCTAAGTGTATGAGAATGAATGAGTGTGCATGGGTGTTTCCCAGAACTGTGTTGCAGCTGGAAGGGCATCCGCTGTGTAAAACATTTGCTGGAATAATTAGCGGTTCATTTTGCTGTGGCAACCCCTGATTAATGAAGGGACTACGCTGAAATAAAATGAATGAATGAATGAATGGGTCATATACGGATAAACAGAGGGTGACAAAGTTAACTAAATCTTCGGGTTTGTAAATATCTGACCCAACCGTTAGTTAGAAAAGAAACAGCATTTATTAGACTGTAACAGGCCTCTGTACTGACAGACCCTGAGTGTGCTCGTCTGAATGCAGAACTGCGTCTGATAGGCTTCAAAAAGATGATCTGTATAAACATGCACTGGTGACGCGGGGGGCACGTCATGTCCTCCAGTCTATCAAAGTCTTGTGTAGATTTACAGTCTCCTGAGGAGCGTTTACCGCGGAATATACGCGCACAGTGTACCAATGAGGCCTTCCGTGGATTGTAGCAAGAAGAATCCGATGTAAAACATAACATATTGTGAACAGAAGCGAAATGAAAGGCCCAGTGCTTATATATGTGCTTGTGTGTGGTGAATATATCAGTGGTTCTGTCATGGTCGGTGCTCTTCTTCATCATCATCTTCATCGAGGACCGTCAAGTGTTGTTGTTGGTCGCCGTTATGTAACGAGCAGCCGCCGGGATCCTTCATTCAGGCGCACTCCTTATATTTCCCGACAGATTTTGAAGCAAACGAGCTGATGTCTCTTCATTTTCGTCGAATATTTAGCGAAATATTTGTGATAGATATATGACACCTCCGGTGATATTTTCTTGTTTTGTTTACCGAGCCATAACCGCGTATAAAAGCAAAGCAAACCTCCGGTGCTCTTGAGGAAAAACACCAATATTGACGAAATATCGTGTCTGATGCTCATAATGTGGAAAAATACAGCAATGCGATGATGATTATCAACACGGCCTTGCTCATATTTTAAGGCTAAAATAACTCATTCGCGCTTCGTTATAACAATTTGTACACCGACATTAATGAGTGACGGTTTCATTTCAGTCGTTCGTTTGTTTACAAGCTAGGATTTAATATTTAATCACCATAGCAAACGAGTAGTTAAGGTCAGTAAAGCAATAGCGACGTGACTGAATGTCTGCCTTTATTTATTTATTTAATTTAATCGTCTTCGTTTGTCTACGTCGGTGTTTTAACAGCACATAGCGCAGTGATACAAACGAAATACAACGAAAACAGCCTCAGAAAACGAATATTTCGGTTATAAAAAGGGAAAGTGACGCTTCAACACGCACACACACTTTCAACCCTGGCTATACACCAAACCACACCATTGCGCATCAGCTGTACATTGGAAATACGATGGTTTCCTACCGAAAAGTGCCGTCTGAGCCCGTGCGGTTCTCCGTTCGCAGTGATAAAGGTGACCCCGCGCCGTGTCCCTCCGCATCCACCGGATCACGATGTGCGCAGCGCTGTGCTCGGTGTCCGCCGGTGGGGGAGGGGTTAACCGGAGCCGTCATTCACACGACAGGGAACCACCGGCGAGCAAATACCCGCCTCACGGTGTTTTCTGCGGCCCCAGCCCGATTTGAGGATTATGTATCTGTCGTTTCTGTGTTGTTTAATCATTGTTTGTGTCCTCATCATCCATGCAGGATGGAGTTACAATCTATTCATAATGTCGTGATATTTATTAAATTGATGTATATACAGCTAGTCAAAATGATTCATTCTCCTCCTGTGATTCTTATTTTTTCAATCAATATATTTCCCAAGTGATGTTTAACAGAGCAAGGGATTTTTCACAGTATTTCCTATAATATTTTTTCTTCTGCAGAAAGTCTCATTTGTTTTATTTCGGCTAGAATAAAAGCAGTTTTTAGTTTTTTGAAACCATATTAAGGTCAATATAATTAGCCCCCTTAGGCTATATTTTTTCCCATTGTCAACAGAACACACCATCATTATACACTGATTTGATTAATTATATTAACTTTTCTAATTAACTTAAGCCTTTAAATGTCACTCTAAGCTGAATATCCTGATAAATATCTAGTCAAATATTATATACTGTAATCGTGGCAAAGATAAAAGAAATTAGTTATTTTAAAAAATGTAATTAAAACAACTATGTTTAGAAATGTAGAAATATTCATTCTGTTAAACAAAGATTGGGGGAAAAATATACAGGCAGGCTAATAATTCTGACTTCAACTGCATACAGTATATGGTAGTCTATATATAATAATAATTATTCTTTTTTTTTTTTAAATCCAGAAGAGTTTTTTATTTTATCAAAGCCTTCTTGAGTCTTTCAGGTAATAATACTGACAGGAGGAACTCAGATGCACAAGGTCTTTATTCATTCAATTTCTTTTAGGCTTAGTCCCTTTATTAATCTGGGGTCGCCACAGCGGAATGAACCGCCAACTTATTCAGCATGTTTTACGCAGCGGATGCCCTTCCAGCCACAACCCATCTCTGGGAAATGCATGAGGTCCTATACTGTAAAAAGTATGTAACAAAGTCATGACTACAAATATTTTTGTTACTTTAACTTATTTTAATAAGTTAATCAGGTGTCAACTGATTTCTATTAATAACACAAGGTTTAACTTAATATTTTAAGTCAGTTAAAAAAAAAATGTAAAAAGAAGATTTCATTTGCCGGCGACGCAGTGGCGCAGTAGGTAGTGCTGTCGCCTCACAGCAAGAAGGTCGCAGGTTCGAACCTCGGCTTAGTCGGCGTTTCTGTGGAGTTTGCATGTTCTCCCTGCGTTCGCATGGGTTTCCTCCGGATGGTTTATGAATGTTTCCCATAGATGGGTTGTGGCTGGAAGGGCATCTGCTGCGTAAAAACGTGCTGAATAAGTTGGCGGTTCATTCCGCTGTGGTGACCTCAGATTAACAAAGGGTCCAAGCTGACAAGAAAATGAAGGAATGAATTTCATTTGCTTTAACCCTTATATGCTGTTAGGGATGTTTTCATCCACTCTGAGGTGATTTTGTCTTAATTGGCCACAACTCTCTGTGTTTCAGCTAGCGGAATGATTTTAATTGAAATCCTATTTTGACACATATTTTAGAAAATGCTTTTAAATTTTTTTTAAATTTCAACATTGTACTAAAACTTACTAGCCTTTTGTTATGTTCAGCGTGAAAACATCCACTACATTAAACTGCAATAAAAATGCATCAGATAAATATTTTTTTCAATATTTATTAGCATAAATCTGTTAATCAACTTCAGTCCTGATCAAAACTACTAAACTGCTCAGAAAATGACAGGATGTTAACTCTTTAATTGCCAAATTCATTAATGATGTCACCGATTTGGTAAAAAACAACTGACTTCAGCATTGTTTTTTAAATAAAAAATGTTAAGAGCATGTTTCTTAAATATCGGCAATCATATTATGGTTATTTTTATGCTTTAGAAGAATCCAAAACTTACATACAGCACCTTTAAACGTTAAAGCATCAACTATTGTAAATTTATTGTAAAGTGTCACTGCTGTATAAAGTTACACATGCCTGCCTCCCATATCAGCCAAACCTTTTACATTTATATAATCTTGAATATGACGCAAACACAGCTAACTCTCATCCCACTAAACGATAAAGCATTAAATAAATCTGATTATCGCTTAATAACACTCACACAATTGCAAATGTGGGAGTACTGCACATTTTTTTAGAAGCTGCATTAGTTGCCTACACACTGACCAGAGGATATTTAAAGATATTTGAAGGAGCTCATAACCGTACTGATGGCCAGCATTCAGAATAAGCAGCTCATGAAGACACACTATTACATTTCTGAAAAACTCATTTATGGTAGCCACCGTTGTATTATTTTATCAGTTTGAGCAAGAGTTCAAGGCGGTGTTTTTGTGTCAGTTGTGAATTTTCATTGCTCCACTTTGCCTTTAGTTAACAAGTAATATTGAGATGCTTTAGCCAAACAGTTATATTTCCAATCACATGGCAGCAACCCAATGCATTTAGGCATGTAGACATGGTCAAGATGATCTGCTGCAGTTCAAACCAAGCATCAGAATGGGGAAGAAAGGGGATTTAAGTGACTGTGGCATGGTTGTTGGTGCCAGATGGGCTGCTCTGAGTATTTCAGAAACTGCTGATCTACCAGGATTGTCACGCACAGCCATCTCTAGTGTTAACAGAGAATGGTCTGAAAAAGAGAAAACATCCAGTGAGCGGCAGTTCTGTGGTTGCAAATGCTTTGCTGAAGCCAGAGGTCTGAGGAGAATGGCCAGACTGGTTCCAGCCAATAGAAAGGCAACAGTAACTCAAATAAGCACTCGTTACAACAGAAGAGCATCTCTGAACGCACAACACGTCCAACCTTGAGGCGGATGGGCTACAGCAGCGGAAGACCACACCGAGTGCCGCTCCTGTTAGTTAAGAACAGGAAACTGAGGCTACAATTCACACAGCCTCACCAAAACTGGACAATAGAAGATTGGAGAAACGTTGCCTGCTCTGATGAGTCTCCATTTCTGCAGCAACATTGGGATAGTGGGGTCAGAATTTGGCATCAACAACATGAAAAAATGGATCCATCCTGCTTTGTATCAACGGTTCAGGCTGCTGGTGGTGGTTTCTTGGCACACTTTGGGCCCATTAGTACCAATTGAGCATTAACGCCAAAGCCTACTTGAGTATTGGTGCTGACCATGTCCATCCCTTTATGACCACAGTGTCTCCATCTTCATATGGCTACTTCCAGCAGGATAACACACCATGTCATAAAGCGTGAATCATCTCAGACTGGTTTCTTGAACACGACAATGAGTTCACTGTACTCAAATGGCCTCCACAGTCACCATATCTCAATCCAATAGAGCACCTTTGGGATGTGGTGAAATGGGAGATTCTCATCATGGATGTGCAGCCGACAATTCTGCAGCAACTGCGTGATGCTATCATGCCAATATGGAGCAAAATCTCTGAGGAGTATTTCCAGTATCTTGTTGAATCTCTGCCACGAATGATTAAGGCAGTTCTCAAGTCAAAAGTGGGTCCAACCTGGTACAAGTAAGGTGTACCTAATAAAGTGGCCAGTGAGTATATTTCTCTGTTATTCATTTATTCATTTTCTTTTTGGCTTAGTCCCTTTCTTAATCCGGGGTCGCCACAGCGGAATGAACCACCAGCTTATCCAGCATGTTTTTACGCAGCGGATGCCCATCCAGCCGCAAACCATCTCTGGGAAACATCCAAACACACTCATTCACAATGCACAATATAGCCTACCCGATTCACCTGTACCGCATGTCTTTGGACTGTGGGGGAAACCTGAGCACCTGGAGGTAACCCATGAGAATGCAGGGAAAACATGCAAACTCCATACAGAAACGCCAACTGACCCAGTCGAGGCTTGAACCAGCGACCTTCTTGCTGTGAGGCAACAGCACTTCCTGCGCCAGTGTATTTCTCTACATGTTAAATTATTTTAAACCACTAAAATGTCAATAAAAGTCACTCTGTTAAACTGTAGCGATGACTGTTCAACAGCGGAAGATGACAGAGCAGAGATCAACATCCCATAATGCAATTTAAACCGAAAATAAATGGAAAACACTTGTGAATCACAAAATATGGGAACTTAGATAACAGATTTGTTTTTACAGAGTAGCTTTATCATCCGGCTAGTTAAGCACATGCTTTATTTCTACAAACAAAACAATAAAGCAAGTTTATTTCTCCCCTTTTTTCGTACCTGCTTCCGATTCTACTCAACTGATTAAAACGGCATCTATAGATGTAGCATTTTTTCTTTTATTATTAGGTTGTTGACACAACTGTTGTACAATCTTGAGTCTTTTCCCGGCGTCAGATACAGCAGAGAGATACAGGATAAACAGTGTGCTTGGATTTAATGAAAGATTCGGAGATCCACCAAACGGTTTTGATTTGCTCAAGAAAAGAAAAACAAATGATTTACACCCCCAAAAATGTCTACAACACACAAAACTCAGCTCAAAGATAAATCTGCCATTATTTCAGAAGCAAGAGTTTTGATTGTTGCTTATTCACATTACATGAATGACTGCATTAAATGTGCAGAGACTGATCGAACAGACCAACATCAGATTCGCTCTCTTCTTCAGCTGCTGCTGTTGTGCCACAGGACGGCTCACCACAAAACCAAAACCGTTTGTTTTCCGAACTATAGAAGTATTGGCGTCTGTTAAACTGATTCTGATTGTTTACCAACCAAGATGATAATATCTATTTTTGTGTACAACTGAAGAAGGAAACAGGTTTGGATCAACTGGAGAAAGAATAAATGATTTAAACTCAATACTGAAATTATAAAAAATAGTGATTTCAACATCTGAGGACCAGCTTTGGATTGGGTTTGCTCTTGTCATTATGATTACCAACAAAACAGGACACTTTTCCTGTTTTTAACCCATGGTGAACAGGTTTTAGGTTTCGGGCAGAAATTTTCATTTCAGTGCATCCCGAAATAACGGTCGTCTGTAAGAGTCCAGTGTTTGAAGAGAAAGTACAATCAGGTTGTAAACATTTAAATCGAAGTCAGTCTCCTTACATGAGAGGCAATTTATTAGGCAAATAGCAAACCTTGGCATCGAGTCTTTTGACTATCCACGTTACCGAAAACATACACACCCACATACGCACACTCTACACACACACACACACACACACACACACACACACACACACACACACACACACACACACACACACACACACACACACACACACACACACACACACACACACACACACACACACACACACACACACACACACACACACACACACACACTCTATGGTTATAATTTACAATTGACAGACGATAAACTGAAACTACCACAGCTAAATTTGAATCAGCGAAGACATTTTGTAAGTAGCTGATGTTGTGCTGTAAATACTGGTGAAAACCCTCCGAAACGCAGGAGTGAGGCAGAATCTGAGATGAACTGCTACAGGAAGACCACTAAATACAAGAGTCATCACACTGATGTTCGAAACAGGCTCATTTCACAACAAAACCAGTGCAATCAGCAGACTGAATGGCCCACATCGTGTTAAACCACTTTAGATTGATATGAAAAGGACATTAAGAGCAAATAAAAACCATCACAATATAGACCATGAAGATACCTCAAACTCACAAAATCACATCTAATGGTGAAGTGGAGAACTACTAAAAACCAACACACTGTAGAAAGCCATCAGTCACTTTACTTTTAAAAAAGCAAAAAGTTGACTTTACTTAAAAAAGTGAGTAAACTTGTTATAAAAGGTATAATCATGCGCATAGTTCATTTACTTAACTTTAAAAGTGAGTAAACCTGTTGCTTTTGAAGTGATTAGTTAACTTGGCATTAAAAGTGAGTAAACCCATTCCGATTATCACGATTAGTTGATTTAAAGTGAGTAAACTTGCTGCTCTCAAATAAGAATAATTGACTTGGCTTAAAAAAGGTGAGCAATCCTGTTGCTTTTAAAGCGATTAGTTGACTTAACTTTTTATAGTGAGTAAATCCACTGCATTTAAATCAATTAGTGTACTTAACTTTAAAAAGGAGTGAACCTGTTGACTTAACGTTAAGTACACTAATTGATTTTAAAGCAATAAATTTACTCAATATAAAAAGTTAAATCAACTAATCGCTTTAAAAGCAAGAGACTAACTTTAAGCCAAGTCAATTAATCAATTTAAAAGCAACAGGTTTACTCACTTTTAAAGTCAACTAATCACCTAAAAAACAAAGTGTTCGCTCACTTTTTAAGCTAAGTCAACTAATCGCTTTAAAAGTAACAGGTTTACTCACTTTAAGTCAACTAATCACTTTAAACAGAGCGAGTTTAATCACTTTAAAAGTGAATAATTGATTTCCTTTTTAAGTAAATTAATTGCTGCAAATGCAGCAAGTTTATTCACATTTTAAAGTAATGTCAACTAATCGTTTCAAAAGGAAAGAGTTTACTCACCTTTGAAGTCAGCTAATCACTTTAGGTAACGTCAACAAATTGCTTTAAAAGCAATGACTTTACTAACTTTTTAAAGTCAAGTAATTGCCATTGTGATTACTCAATTTAAAGTAAGGCTCAATTTAAACTAATCACTTTAAAAGCACAGCGTTCACTCACTTTTTAAGCCAAGTCAACTAATCGCTTTAAAAGCAACACTCATTTTAAGTCAACTAATCGCTCTAAACACAGCAAGTTCAATTGGGTTTTTAAGGGTAAATGTCAAATAATCGTTTCAAAACAATTACTCAATTTTAAAGTCAACTAATCACTTTAAAAGCAAAATGTTTATTAATTTTTTTAAGTCAACTAATCGTTTCAAATGCAGCGAGTTTATTGACTTTTTTAAAGTAATGTCAACTAATCATTCCAAAAAGAAACGTTTACTTACATTTAAAGCCAACTAATCACTTTAGGTAAAGTCAATTAGTCACTTTAAAAGCAACAGGTTTACTCACTTTTTAAAGCCAAGTCAACTAATGACTTTAAAAGAAAAAAAAAAATTTAAATTAAGTAAATTATTCACTTTCAAAGCAACAGACCTACTTTAAACGCAGTGAGTTTATTCACTTCAAGTTAGGTCAACTAGTTGTTTCAGAAAGAAACAAAGAGTTTACTCAGCTTTAAAGTCAATTAGTCACTTTAAAAGCAACAGGTTTACTTGCTTTTTAAAGCCAAGTCAACTGATCGCTTTAAAAGCAATGAATTTAATAACTTTCTAAAGTCAAGTCATTGCCATTGGAATTACTCACTTTAAGGTAAGTCAACTTATCACTTTAAAAGGGAAGCGTTTACTTTTTTTTTTTTTGTTTGTTTTTGCTGTCAACTAATCAAATCAAAAGCAACGACTTTACCAACTTAAGTCAACTAAACCTTTCAAAAGGAAAGAGTTTACTCACTTTTAAAGTCAACTAATTGCTTTAAAAGCGATGGGTTTACTATCATTTTAAAGTAAAGTCAACCAATCGCTTTAGAAACAATGAGTTTACAAATTTTTAAAGTCAAGTAATCGCAAACGGGAGTACTCACTTAAAAAAAAAGTCAATTAATCAGTTTAAAAGTAACTGGTTTACTCACTTTTTATGCTGTCAAGAAATCGCTTTTAAATCAACTAATCCTTTCACAAGAAAAGTTTACTCACTTTTAAAGCCAATTAATCGCTTTAAAGGGGTGGTCCAGAATGTAATTTTAAGGCTTGGTTGTGTTTATAAGATGCAAAGCAATATATGCTCATGTTTCACTTGAAGGAAATCGCGTTATTTTTTCATATATCTCACTTTGATTATACACAGCTACTCAGCTGACATGAAAACGACTGTCATATTTCCTAGTTCCTCTGAAAGGCCCACCCTTAAGTGACTCTTATTGGTCATCGTCATAATGTGCTGCCATTCGCAGATCAGCTCCACATCACACCCGTAAAGCACACAAGACAATCAATGCAAAGTCTAACACACATAAGAGACACGAACGTGCTGGTGTAATGTGTGTGTGTGTGTGTGTTTACAGCAGTTTGACTGATAAATATGAATTTTTAGCTAAATTGTTTGCCCGCAAAGCAGCATTCCTCATTGTTTACATCGTTGCTACAGCATACCGTTAATGCTAGACACTGTACATGTCATGATCAATTTTAACAAATAAAAACACTTACAGGTTGTAGCTCACAGCTTCTCCTTTGAGGAGATTTTAGCCTAATCCAACATTGAACTACGAGAGATTCTAGAGCTGTTTTGTCAGATCATGCTTGCTGTGTATTTTATAATTCTCTGGAAGATATTTAATATTGAACAGTAAGCACTTCTGTCTTTGTGTCTTGTCATTTGGAAGCCCAAATTCAGAAACAGACGAAGCTCTGTGGAAACAGCCGTGTTTGATGCATTTTTAGCTTCATCTCTGCTGTAATGTTACAGCGCCTCTGGCCACGGCCCGTAGCTGCGCAGTTTGTATGTGCAGTAAACAAACCTTTGTGATCTCATAGGGGGCGGAAGTATTTTTTGTAGTATCCAAAATTCATTCAATGGAGGCTTTGCTAAGCTAACTCTGTAAAAACCAAGGTCTCCCTTTGCATTGAACTTAGAACTTTTTACATTCAGAGATGTTGTTTATGTTCACACAGCTACATTACACATCAACTAAAGTTTAAAATATGATATCATAGTGGACCACCCCTTTAAAAGAAACGAGTTTACCAACTTTAAAGTCAACTAATCGCATTAAAGCAACAAGTTTACCCCCTTTTAAAAGTAAAGTCAGCTAATCGCTTTAAAACCAACGGGTTTACCAACTTTATAAGTCAACTAATCGCATCAAAGCAACAAGTTTACCCCGTTTTAAAAGGAAAAGTCAACTAATCGCTTTAAAAGCAACAAGTTTACCAACTTTAAAAGTCAACTAATCGCATTAAAGCAACAAGTTTACCTCCTTTTAAAAGTAGTCAGCTAATCGCTTTAAAACCAACGAGTTTACTATTTTTATAAGTCAATTAAATCGCATCAAAGCAACAAGTTTACCCCCTTTTAAAAGTAAAGTCAGCTAATCGCTTTAAAACCAACGAGTTTACCAACTTTATAAGTCAATTAAATCACATCAAAGCAACAAGTTTACCCCCTTTTAAAAGGTAAAATCAACTAATCGCTTTAAAAGCAACAAGTTTACCAACTTTAAAAGTCAACTAATCGCATTAAAGCAACAAGTTTACCCCCTTTTAAAAGTAAAGTCTGCTAATCGCTTTAAAACCAACGAGTTTACCAACTTTAAATGTCAACTAATAACATTAAAGCAACAAGTTCAGCCCCTTTTTAAAGTAAATTCAACTAATCGCTTTAAAAGCTCACTCAATTTAAAAGTCAAGTAATCGTCAACGGGATCACTTTAAGAAATGTCAACTAATGGCTTTAAAAGTAACATGTTTACTCATTTTACTTTAAAAGAGTCAACTAATCACTTTAAAAGCAACAAGTTTGCTCACTATTTTTAGGTAGTCAACTAATGGCTTTTTTACAATGCACTGAACCCCATCAACACCACCCCATCCTGCAAATGCGCCTAATCAGAGTGCAGCTGCGTTTGTGAGTTTCCAACATGAGTAAATGTAAAATTGGCATTAAGACTGCAACGTCAACCCCTTAAGACACCATCTCTGTTCTGTGCATCTATTTAGACAACTAAGACTATTATCATGCCACACCAGCATGTACGAAACACACTAAACAAAGGCAAAAACAGTCAAATGGCCCCATCCATCAAAAACATCTACCCTCGGTTAAGTTTAGATCCTGTAAACCAAAGACTTGCTGCATTTGTAAGCTCATTGATATGCGACGTGCTCATGCAAAAACTCCACCTCTAGAAAACGGCACAATCATAAACGCAAACACTGCAGAGAGAAAAGGCCAAACGTTAGCACAACATCACAATTCTCCTTAAACACTACTTATTGTGCATTCGGTCATTAGGATTTCATGCAAGGATTCATTAAAACAAGAAAAAACAAACAATTGTTCGCAAGATGCTCTATGGACTCTATCTGAACAATAAAAGGCAGGTAAGGCGATCCTAGAGTAACTGATTAATTTGTTTTTTTTTTAAATACAAACAAAGACAGTAGTTGCTGTAGAGCTGAGTTGAGTGGGAAACGGTAGAAAAAAGCGAGGCCCAGCTACAGTTATCTGATGCTGGACAGAGAGTTTTGGTTAATGTTATATGTGGCCACCAGTGATGTGCCGTTGCTGGTCATGCAGTCCTGTTGAAGGGCTTCGAAGTACGACGCCTGCACAGGTTTGTGACACTGCAACACACGCCGAGCGTCTTCAGTCTTAAACCACTCCCTCTTCCTACCTGTGGACACAACAATACCGAAGCATGACTGCATTACTGCGGCACAATATATCACTTCATTTTCATGATGACCGAAGCTCAATGTGTGAAAAAAGTCCCTAAACACACATACAAACATTGCTTTTAGATATTTCTTAATGTAATGTGGGTTATTATTTAAAACTATTTCATTAACGTATTTGTTTTTGAAAAGATCTTAGAGCTGGGGTGGCCAATCCTGTTCCTGGAGAGCCACCTTCCTGCAGACTTCAGTTGCTACCCATATCAAACACACCTGCCTGTAATTATCACGTGGTGTTCAGGTAATGTAATGTAATGTATTTTTTATTTAGTGCCATGTCAGCAACCAAGGCTATCTTCATGGCAGGAATCTTTCAACAATAAATATACAATTTAAAAATCAACAAACAAAATAAAACATAAATTAAATAAGATTTTTTTGTTTTAATACATGATAAAAATTCTAAAATCTTTTCGGGTGTTACTTTGTCAAAAATGTCCTTAAAAGAGTTCATTTCATAAAAAGTCCTTCTGGAATCAGTAAAAGCAGGACAGTCCAGTAAAATATGTTTTACAGTAAGATGAGTTTTGCAATACAAACACTGAGTAGGGTTTTCCGTGGTGTTCAGGTCCTAATTAATTGGTTCAGGTGTGTTTGATATGGGTAGCAACTGAAATCTGCAGGAAGGTGGCTCTCCAGGAAGAGAGTTGGCCACCCCTGTCTTAGAGACTCAAAAATGTAAGTGCAAAGAATCTCCCTCATACGTATGCTGATTTAGAAAATGCAGTGTAACTCTAGTTTTTAACCATATTCTTACCGATATTTACTGAGTCCTCCCAGTCCTCCAGAACCTCGGTCACGATGAGAACATAAACATACGTCCTGTGCTTTCTGTCTCTGTTCTGTGATGGAAAAACAGCTCATTTCAGACTCGTGGAAAACAGTGCATCACAAGTAATAACTGCAACAGTTATATCTCTCCAATAATATTCAGAAGTTTAAAAAAACAATAATAATAATTATCTGCAAAATTCCCTGACTTTCACTGACTAAAAATGTTGTCTGTAAAAAGAAAAAAAGGTATTATCTGGCGATTGCAAGTCTATGAAAGGAATAAAATGGAGCTGAAAAAATAGCCTAACCATTAACAACAGATTAAACAGAAAAAAAGTACAAAAATATATTTATCCAGAAATGGAAACTACATTTTAAAGCAACAAACAAAAATCCCTAATATTGCATAACTTGGATGAAGATATTTGTAAAAATTCCCTGACTTTCAATGTCTGGAGTCTGGACTGAGTAGTATGCAATTTGATTAATAATAAATAAATAATAAAAAATAAATTATAAAACTTTTGTGAAAACAAAAAAATATGCATTGATAAATAAGAAAAAACTCCAAAAACAAACAAACAAACAAACAAAAAATCTAAATGGCAAAAAAAGAAACATGGTTTTCAAATAAACAGCATTTTTGCTGGCCATTAAAAACTCACTAGCCAATCAGAGAAGACTGTTGTTAAGCTGCCCCCTCGAGAGATTCAATAAGTTGCAAATCGCAAACAAAATCTTGGTAAGCGAAAACAAAAACTGGCTGAAAGCTGAAAGTAGAGTAAATAAAAATACAGTTCAACTGATGATGATGTTTCTATTTTTCAATTTAGTTTTTTGTGTGTTTTCTTATTTATTAAAATACATTTTTGTTAATTTTCACTAAAGTTTTGTTAGCTTAATTTGGCACAAAAAAGGAAAAACATGACAGAATGTTTAGTGAAATGAAAGCTGAAAGTGAACAAAAACTACAGTTCAACTAAAGACGACGTTTATATCTTTTTTTTCTTTTTGTTTTATTTTATTTGACATTCCAGAAAATTCATGACCCGTGAAAACCCAGATAGTTTCTTCAACTAGACACTGTTGTAATATTTTTTGTTTGTTTAAATTTCAGAAAACACTCACCTCAAAAACACCTACCAATCTTCCTAATGTACCTTTGACTCCTGCCTGTGGGAATAAAAAAAAAAACAGTGAAACACTCAATTCAGGACATTTTTAAAAGCAGTCTAGCAGCATTTTAAAGCATCATGAAATGTCTCATTTCAGCATTTGTCAGGCCTTTATAATAACACATGGAAAATATTGATTGGGTTCATGATAGACATAGAAACCTGTGGACTAGAGAAGAGAGAGAAAGAGAGATTAGGATAGCCTTAAGGCCTGTGCAAACCGGGATGCTTTTAGCACGCGTTTTCCGTCGACCTTTAACGCATCGTGACTAAATAAAGGGCGTCAATGTGATCGTGCACACCAACGCACAAAACGGCAGGCGTAAAAGCTTCCTTTTTAAAGAAACGCCTCATGCTCGTTTTTTTTTTTTGACGCGCTGCATCAAAACCTCCTCCACCAATCAGATTGGCACTTTTTTTATCTGCACAGAGCTGCTGAAGTTACAGTAAACAGCACTAGGGGGCGCTCAAGCGCAAAACTGTCAATGTAAGCGCACATTGAAGAAGATGGTGACGCAGTGGCGCAGTAGGTTGTTGCAAGAAAGTCGATGGTTCGAACCTCAGCTTAGTTGGCGTTTCTGTGTGGAGTTTTTGCATGTACTTCCTGCGTTCGCGGGTGCTCAGGTTTCCCCCACAGTCCAAAGACATGCGGTACAGGTGAATTAGGTAGGCTAAATTGTCCGTAGTGTGTGTGTGTGCGTGTTTTCCAGAGATGGGTTGTGGCTGGAAGGACATCCACTGCGTAAAAATGTGCTGGATAAGTTGGCGGTTCATTGCGCTGTGGCGACCCCAGATTAATAAAGAGATTAAGCCGACAAGAAAATGAATGAATGAATGAAGAAGATGCCCAGAGGCGATATGAACGTGGAGCTGCTTTTTGCTCTGGTGAATAATAATCATTTCTTCATCGCTGGAGCTGCAACTTGAACCATCCATAACAACAAGCGTGTCAACTTTCTGTCTTCTTGGTCTGTGTTACAAGCGGGTGACAGAAGCTTAAGTTGTGTAGCGCCATCTAACATCAAGGAGTGATTTTGCATACTTTCTTTGAAGCCAGTAAAAATCCCTTGGGTTTGAATCCGGAAAAACGTCTCGGAAAAACGCTGACGATAAACGCAAACGAAAAGCGTCCCGATGTGTACGACCCTTTAGGTACCTTCCAGAAAACAATGCAAAAGCAGAGTTTTCTGTAGAAATGATCTCCACACTAACTGAGTAAAAAAGTGGAAAATCTTTCTCCTGTGTGTGTTATTCACTTTCGCTAAGGCTGAATGCTGACTTTGCCTCTGGCTTTGGTGCAGCGAGCGCTCTTAAATCATCTAAACTGAAGGCCATATAAAACGAACACAACGGATTTGGCCCAAAGGCTGTGAGTTGATGAGATCTGTCCTGTAGGCGCAGCACTCCAGCAGCAACACAAAACAGAAAACACTGGTCAAGCTAAGATTATTGACCTCTGCGGCTTTAACCAGTAAGTGAAATCCTCACATTTGTTTGACCAATCATGACAAAGTAAAAACCACATTACACAAAGCCTCCTGTAGCCATAGAGTTAATCAGTTGCAGGGCTCGAAATTAACCCTTTTGCTTGGTAGCACTGGTGCCCCCAACTTTAGAAAGTTAGGAGCACCAGCAAAAATTTATTCGCACCCACCAATTATAAGCAGCGCTACTACAAGTTTTAATGTTATATTAACTGATTTACTGCATTTGAAATCAACACTAAACAATCTAACGAACAAACAAAACGACATCTGCATGCGTACACCAGCCCTCCATGCACTGCTTTACATGAATGAAACTTAGGGTGCTTTCACACCTGTGAATCAATTCAGTTGTTCCGAAACAGAGATTACAAATGTTACAAAGCTCGGAACGCTTTCTCACTGCAGTCGATCTACTCCAGAGTTCGTTTCAATCAAGCCGAGACCACCTCATTCAAGCGATCCCGGAGCGATTGATTTGGCGCGGATCCGAGAGCGATTGGTGGTTTCACATATGCCAAACGAACCGTGCTAACTGTGCAAACGAGACAGGTTCCCAAACAAAAGTGTAGGTGTGGAAGCACCCTTAGGGAACAATAATAACTTTGCTGTTCTCACGGGTGCTGTCTGATATTGCACAGTTAATACTGACATAACAACTTATAATTTGCATACGTCATCTTAATAGCTATATAATTTTTTTCATGAGCTGCAATATTACTTTCATCCTAGTAAATGCAAGCCCTTTTGCGATGGTGTACGTGGTGTTACGTTTTACATACAGCTGCCACCTGCTGCCAGCATCCTGACGATTAAATGAAGGATTGAACAGAACCTGTCGCACATAAAATGTGTAATTTGGCGAACGCTGTTACCTGCAAACTCCATCACACCAGCTTTATTGTGAATGCTTTAGTCATTTTCATAGCGGACTTTAAACACTGGAAGTCTTTTATCCACTCGTCAAAAAGTGTAAATGCTGGATTGACATTCACCACATGATCACTAATCAGATGTGTCATTATTTGAAACGTATGTTTTCTAAAACTAAGTCTGTCAGTGTTGTTTTCATTCTCTCATCTTCAGCGCTTTACATGTCCGCTGTTGTAGCTCTCCCTGTCATGTAAAGAAAGGCATCGACTGAGTGATTGACAGCTGATATTAATCAATCAATTCGCATTTAGTTCTAGAGCAGTGGGCCAATCAGAAGAGCTTGAAGGCGGGGAAAGCATTGCACGCTTTGTTTACTGCAGCAAGTTGACATGACAACTGTTTTAAACTATACCCAAGCGCGACATTTAGCGTCTCAGGTGCCAAGATGCGTTCTGCGTGAATGTCTCCTAAATCTGCGTGTGCGGTGAACATTTTGCAGTGAAAACATTCATTTTATGCAGTCGCTCCAATAATTTGGAATTTAATTTTTTTACCGAACTATCCCTTTAATTTACTAATATTTTCATTAATTTACTAATTATTTTAATTAATATCTTTCTTATATATTATTGCCAATGAGTATTGAAAATGCTAAATTTGCTTGTAAATAAAAACTGGCAACTGGCATCCACCAATAGGAATCAAGATCGGGGGCATTACTAATGTGCTGTTTAATTACCAAATTCATCTGTTTTTGAATTAGTGAATTATTAAACTTTAGTAAATCCAGCTGAAAACAGGAGCATCTTCAAATGTTTACTTCTGACCATTATGTGTGTGTGTGTCTGTTTTTAGGACAGCATACCTCCTCACACACCTCCCTGACGGCAGCAACGCTGGGCTCCTCCTCAGGCTCCATCCCTCCACCAGGAACGATCCATCTGTCAGGGTGACTGCTGCTGCTCACCAACAACACCTGACACACACACACACACATACACACACACACACACACACACACTTCACTGAGCTGCTCATAACCACAACATACATGAGCTCTGAGGTATGCTGCAAAACAAGACAAAAATATTGAGTCTTGTAAATAATGTAGCACATTTATTTAAATCACTATTTTATGCAAACACAAACTCTAATTTTAGTAAGAACTTTCAAATTATATGCATGTTCAGACCTATAAATAGTCACATCTTTTAGGTGTGGTTGAATTCCAGAGAATTGGAATACAGCAAAGAAAGAATAGTTTCATATTCACCAAGACGTTCACTTATATACTAGTATTAGAGGGTACTGTAGCTGTGGGGTGGTTTTATTAATGTAAAGTTGGTTTTGTATTCGTACATTTGGACTTTCAATGTCTTAATATAATTTCAGAAAAGGATTAGCACAAGTGGTTACTTTTTGGGGGGAGTAACTCAATGACTTTCAAAAGAAACTGTCCTCAGGATGGTGGTAAATAATATACGGTAAGGACTGTGTCACAAGTTGGCACATTTCGCTCATAACAGTACATCATTATAATTACTTTGTATTATTCTTTTTTAAATTCTTATTCACTATTTTATTAAGTCTGAATGGGCGAACATAAAACTGACTTCACCTCAATTCTGGTTTTAGACTAAAAATAAAGTCATTACAAAAGGCTAATCATTATGACAAGCCGTTATTATTATTTTGCATTACAAAATAAAACTGTGGTGGTATCATGACAGCTGCTGGTAATGTTGAAGGTACCACTGGTATTCATCATGTAACGTTACCAAAGGCTATTGATATGAGACCTTAAGACATCAATTAAGAGCATTTCAACAGCCCAATCCCCTACACACACAAAACTGAGGTAAAGTTTTAATATGAAAAGTATTCTTTGCAAATTCTAAATAGGGAAATCATATTAGCAGCCAATGACTAACAAAGTACAACATTTTTACAGTCAATTAAATGTTGCTAATGTTGTTCAGAAGTCAATCTTGCAAGATAAACAATATAGGGACTGTCACAAGTTGTCATTTTGCTCAACAGTACGTCATTATAATTAATCAGCTGTATTAATTTTTTTTTAATTCTGCTTGTCAAGTCTGAATGAATGAATATAAAACCAACTTTACATCTATTTAGAATTTTAGACAGAAAGTCTTTTAAAGAGGGTAATCAATATGACAAGCCGTCATTACAATTATTTTGTATTTCAAAAATAGCACTGGTACCATTGTAACGTTGCAGAAGGTAACGTAACGAAGGTATCATCATGTAACGTTACCAAAGAAGTTTAATATAGTAACTGAAATAAAAAATATACTACAACACTACAATATGTAAACTGTCCAAAATTCAGGAAAGGACCCCCTTTTGTTAATAACAATTTAAAGAAGATTATATTAAAATAAGCTGAGCTGTAACACCGACGAAGTTAACACTTTAACATGGGAAGTTTTAATAAAAGACTGACCATACTAACTTATATTGAAAATAAAGCAGATATCGATTAACGGCGTTTCAACAGCACAAACCCCTACACACACGCATAACCCTACACATTAGTAAAAGTGTTTGCGGCTATATTTAGAGTGAGTGTGTTGGTGAGGTAAATAAAGGCAGCAGTGATTGATGGCGTCACCTCCTCCTCGCGCTCGCTCCTGAAGCACAGACAGGCCGCGCGCTTCTTATAACCGTCTCTGTCATACGTGCGAGTCTGGTTGGACTTCAGCTTGATCATCGCGCTCAACAGATGAAAGTCCTCAACTCCGGTCAAGTCTTCACCTCTCGCCGCACCTAGAAACCCTTCTACAGGCCCTCCGCTAGCATAAATAAACCCTCCGTCGCTTCATTTTGTGAGCTAGTGTCGCACAGACGCCATTACTCTAAGCGCTGCGCAAATTGCATAGCAGCGAGCGCGGTTCCTTTTTTGTGAATAGGACGTTACGTAGAAGAGAGGAGGAACTAAGCAAGTCACGTAACGTTATTTGTCTTCTTTTTTTATTAGTTCATTGAAGTATTGGTTATTAAAGGCCCTAGACTTATGCATTGCATATAATGTATACCCTGACATCACCGAAATCTTCCATTATTGTAAAATCACTAAATCAAACTAATAAGGGGCGGGACCCGCTCTATTTTTAGCAAATCAGATTACGCAGGATTCCTGGCAATCACTTTACATGGACAGAAATTCAAGATAACAGATTGGCTGGCACTGGAAGGCGTGGTGGTTAATTATTTATCAGATATTTGTTATGAAAGGTCTGCATCTTATTTTTATTTATTTGTTTATGATGTTAAATAGGATTGCAAATGTTCATCTGTATTATATCTGTATTCAAGGAATTTGCTTATTGATTTATAATTCAGTTAATTGCAGAATGCTTTACAGCGTATTGCTCCAGACCTTATATCAATTAATATTAATAATAATAAAAATAAAAAATACATCAGTAAATAATTTTACATGTAAATAGTATATTGATTATAAAGTAATTATCACACAAAATTGTTATATTAAACCATAGTTTTAAGTAATATACATTCGAAAAATTGGAAAGATTTTCACAAACAAATTAAATTAGTTACATGGGAACAACTATGCAATGAAAATGTGATTAAAATATATTTTGACTTGACTTATACTTTATATTTAATATTTTAGACTTGCATAAAATAATTATTTATCATTTTAGTCTTTATACAACAAACCTATGCATTTTAATTGGGTAATCCCACAGTCAACATAGTTACGTTTAGAGGGAGCACTTAACAGCAAGCAAACAGCAACATCTGAGGTAAATTATCTAATGTTCCCATAGAATCATGCAAAATCAAAACAAGAAATGTGATATTTGGCTTTAAGTGAAAACCCTATACAGAAGTCAATGGTTACAGTTTTCCATCTTTCTTCAAAATATCTTCTTTAGTGTTTAACAGACAAAAATAGACTCCATAAGAGTTTGGAATCTATGGAAGCCCGTTCCCGCCACTGAATGATAAAAAAATTAAGAATTTATATAAAAAAAATATATATAATACTATTTTTAAAAAAATTATAAAGTCAGAATTCTGAGTTATTAAGTCACAATTCCGAGTTATTAAGTCAGAATTCCGAGTTATTAAGTCAGAATTCTGAGTTACAAAGTCGCAATTCCGAGTTATTTAGTCAGAATTCTGAGTTACAAAGTCGCAATTCCGAGTTATTTAGTCAGAATTCCGAGTTATTAAGTCAGAATTCTGAGTTATAAAGTAGCAATTCCGAGTTATAAAGTCAGAATTCTGAGTTATAAAGTCGCAATTCCGCGTTATAAAGTCAGAATTCTGAGTTATAAAGTCGCAATTCCGAGTTATAAAGTCAGAATTCTGAGTTATAAAGTAGCAATTCCGAGTTATAAAGTCAGAATTCTGAGTTATAAAGTCGCAATTCCGCGTTATAAAGTCAGAATTCTGAGTTATAAAGTCGCAATTCCGAGTTATAAAGTCAGAATTCTGAGTTATAAAGTAGCAATTCCGAGTTATAAAGTCAGAATTCTGAGTTATAAAGTCAGAATTCTGAGTTATGAAGTCCCAATTATGAGTTATTAAGTCGCAATTCTGAGTTATAAAAAAATCTTTTGAATTTCGACAATTTCTCACGACATTTCATATTACGTTACGAGAGTTCCTGTCGCCAGCAGCTGAACGTTTCTGCGACGCCAAGGTATGGTCATATTTACTATTTGGCATGATAATTATTTACGATATGAAGTGTTACAGTAAATGCCGTGTTATAATAGAAGCCTTTGGCGAGTGTAAAATCCGAAAGTTTTGCGTGTGTGGTATCATAGCCTACAGGCTCATGCGGTTTCCTCGAATAGTAGTCGTGTTGCTTTTATGGACAATTCAGTAGGCTAGTTTACATTGCACCAAAAGGGAGTAAAATTAGGTTTGGATTCAAAGCTTGCTTTGTTATGTACAGTATACTAACCACAAAAGTACATGGATTTTGTTTTCTGGCTTATATACTCGGTCTAGGCTTTATATTGGCCTCTAGCCTCACTATGTTTTCCTTTTAAAACTATCATTGTAGGATGGACGAATTAATAATTTTACTAAGGGAGAGAAACATCCCTGAAACAACTATCAAACGACTGGAGGAAGACAAGGTAATACCTAAACAATTTACCACACACTTTTAAAGTCATAATTTGGAAGAAGTGGACATTTTAATGCATGTTTAATTTTAGTCACTTGCAGTTTTATTTCTTAAAGTAGTTATATACTGTTTATTTTACAATAAATAACTTAACTTAAGCTGAACACTTTGGCAAAGCTCCAGTGTTTACCTAAACACTTTCAATTATACTTCAGTTTAGTGACTGAATCTTAATATTAACCAGTTGCTTGTTGACATGCATAATACTAGCAGACTGCTTATTGGTACTTAAAAAACATATATTAATGCCATATTTTGAATGACCATATTATACATTCTTTTTTAAACCATTCATAGTTACTAAGAGGCATACTCAAAGAAAACAGTACTACACCATTGGGGAATATTACAGAAATTTAATACATTTATTGAAAAACAAAGTACCAAAATGTATGTAATGGCAGAAATATGAAATGAAATATGAAAATAAAAATAAATAAAATAACATGAACTTGTCATTTATAACCAGTAGATGGTAGCAGAGGTTAACTCATTTAGCTCAGTTACTGTATCGACTCCTTAGATGTTTCAATGTCTTTCTTTTGGATTTCTTATGAAAACATTAAATATAGCAAGTTTACTGTATTATAAGGAAGTACAAAGTACAAGAAGTCAGAGTGCCATTTAAATATAAATAGTGAACCCATACACCAACAATCTTTAAGGGTAATTTACTTAAATACTTTAGTATTAAATTTACTTTATTCAGCCAACTCAGATTTGTTATTATTTAGTTTTGGTACTCTAAATTTAGTTTGATTTACTTTATGCACAACTCTGAAACTGCATAGGTGGATTACACATAAACACACGCACGCACGCACACACACACACACACACACACACACATATATATATATATATATATATATATATATACGCGTGAGTGTGTGTGTGTGTGTCTGTATTTATTTATGTAAGTATTTATTTATTTTGCAGATTGATGTCAGTGTCCTACTGTTAATGACTGATGATCAGATGAGAAGCTATTTTCCTTCATATGGAGACAGACTGGCCGTGATGGGATTTTGTAGGAGGCAAGAAAGAGAACCAACTTGCAGGAAGTCAAAGCTGTTTGAGCGCCTCAAATCAAAACTGACCAAAAGACAAAAACCTGACAATTCACAAACAGAAACCCAAAATACTACAAAAAAACATTCTCAGCGTACTGTAAGAAAAATTGAAATGGGGTGGATGCACCATGATGGTCAGGGCTTTGTTCAAATGAGAGCAAAAAAAGGAGGGGGAACAAGGAAGTTGAGTGTTCCAAAAGAATGGAAAAGGGAAGAGCTGATTGAGGAGGCAATTCGTCTGTTTTTTCCAAATGGAAAAAATTCTCATGGGAGTATTTCTGAGTTTAAATTGGATCTAACAAATTATCAGGAAGTGTCACTAGATGCAGAATCTACAGTGGGGGAAATGTATAATGCATCCAAACTCACAATGATGAGGTTCTACTTGACAACAAAAAAGGTGGAGAGGGAAGTGGAAACAGAAAGTGAAGAGGAAATGTCAGATCAAATGGAGAACTTTCACAGTAATAACCAGGATCAAAGCCTTCCCTCTACTTCCAGTGGGATGAATGACTTCTTTCCTTCAGAGATGGATGTAATTTATGTAGATAGTCCGGTTAATGACACTGCATCTCCCTTTCATTCCACAGAGGATCATATTGCAGATGATGACCTGAATGTATCTTTTCAAAGTTCTTTAGTGACCTTGCCAGATTACTTAGATTCAAGCAATGTAGTAACAGTACTCACTGGTGACATCATTGGAATAGATGAACAAAACTTAGATGACACTTTGCCGCTGAGCCCAGAACCCATTGCTCCACAGAAAAAAATCCTTGTTGTTCATCGTGGACAAATATTTTCAGAGCTCATTGCCCATTTCTGTGATGAAACCCTTATTCATACACAGAGTGAAGTAGAAGTGAAGCTGCTGCTCCCAAATGGACAGTTTGAGATGGGTCATGATGTTGGTGGAGTGTTTAGGGATTGCCTATCAGAGTTCTGGCAGGAATTTTATGATCAGTGCACATTGGGGAACAATTTTAAAGTTCCCTTTCTTCGACATGACTTTGGCAAAGAAAAGTGGGAAAGTGTGGCCCGAATAATTTTGTTCGGCTGGAAGAAAGAGAAATATCTCCCAATAAAACTTGCACCTGTCATCCTCCAGCAAGCAATACAGGGATCTGTGAAAAGTGATCTGATTGAGAACTTTTTGAAGTATGTCTCAGAAAACGAGTGTGCTTTGTTAGAAAGCTGCAGAAAAGACTTCTGTAGTGCAGACCAGGAGGAATTGCTTGAGACCTTAGACAACTACAGTTGTCGAAGAATTCCAACAAATGAAAACTTCAAGCAAATTTTGGAAGAACTGGCTCACAAAACTCTCATTCAAGAGCCTGCTTATGTTCTTGAACAGTGGGCATGCATACTTGGACCTCTGAGGAAGGACCTTGAGGAAATTGAAGATGTGTACTGTGCATTACAACCAACAGTGAGGAAAATTGTGCAATCTCTCAAATTTCCTGAAACAATGAATGTACAGCAAAAGGACATTTCAAAGCACTTGACAACTTACTTGAGGGAGTGTGATGCAAAACGGCAGTCTCTGTTTCTTCGATTCTGTACTGGATCAGATTTGTTTATAGGCAAAGCTATAACAGTTGATTTCACAGACCTTAAAGGGTTTGAGAGAAGACCAGTGGCGCACACATGTGGCTGTTTTCTGAGGCTTTCAGTGCACTATGACAACTACCCTGATTTCAGATCTGAAATGAACAAAGTCCTTGAAAGCAACATCTGGGTCATGGACATAGTTTAGTGGATTTAGTCGGAACTGAGTTGTGGCCAGCTCCTATGCAAGCTATTGTTTTCTGTCATTCTTATTACACTTCATACAGTTAATTCACACTGTATACAGAAAGTAAATCATTCCCTTTAATTTTGCACTTACATATTGCTGGTTACATTGAATGCAGACCAACCTTTATTATTTTTGATGATTGAGTTTTTTTTTTTTTTTGATGATTGAGATTTGATTAAAAAAAAATAGGTGCAACCAAATGTTTGAGTTAAATCATTAAATTGTTAATTTCAACTGTTCAGTCAAATAGGCTTGGAACTGTCCAAATGTTTTAATGGTTCCTTTTTCATACATGTACACGCTCTACCATTATTTGACAAGTTCATAAAGTAAAACAATCACTTTAATTGTTCATTGAATGTTGCCCCTAAATAGTGAAAGTTTTCTTCATAGTTACAAACAACTGTTTACATTTAATTGTACAAGTTGCATCTACCCTGACATAAATGTCTGAATGATTATGTGTTCCTAAAGAGATAGTTCACTAAAAAAATGAAAATGTTCTCACTTTTTACTCACCCCTCAAGTGTTTACAAGCCTCTATGGATTTATTTCTTTGGTTGAACACAAAAGAAGATAGTTTGAAGAAAGCTGCAAACCTGTATCCATTGACTTCCATAAAAGAAAATACAAATACTATGAAAGTCAGTGGTTACAGGTTTTCAGCTTTCTTCAACAGAAGAAAGAAACAAGCAAGGAGTGAGGAAATTGACAAGTTCATTTTTGGGTGAACTATCCTTTTAAGTTTGTGTTTCTATACAGTTGGGTGTTGCATTATTGCAACAATACATAACAATTTTATAACATTGTTTTATTGAAATAGTTTTAATGTGGTTTGTTTTATTTTTTCTTGTACCACATTGTAATGTTAAGTACTCATACATTAAACAACACAACCTCCATATATTGTGCCATGTTTTTTTGAGAATTCAAGATGGAGTGAGTAGGCTACTACACTGAAAAAAAAAATGATTTATTGGATTTACAAAAAGTGGTTGCAAACAAATTGTTTAGGCTGAATTTAAACAAACAAATTAAGTAGAACATAACTAAATTTACTTTTTTGTTTATATTCAGCCCATATAAATTTTTGCATTTCAGCATTGCATTTTTTATTGGCCAATAAATAAATTGCTCATCAAAGTCTGCTTTAATTAAAAAAAAACTTTGAACTTTTAAAATCAATTTCACTTAAAGCTCTGTAGTGGTGCACAAAACCTGACAGCCAGTGTACCATGTTAAAATGATTACAGGTTCGTTAAGCATGTATAGGAAAAACATTGGGAATACTGTTCGAGCATTTGTTTGAAACAAAAATGTACTACTACAAAGTTGAATATTTAATAATAAAAATACTATTACAAATTCAGTTCTTTATTTCAGGTATAACACAAAATACAGACAGTTTACCATTTAAACCCTTTAGTTTATGTTTTAAATATACATCCCCTTTATATTCCTAAGGTGAAACAAATGAAAATTCTATACATTTTGAAAAATTTCAGTACTATTGCTTTACAGTTTAAACAAAATTATTTTACTTTTGAGTAACAAAATACTTCTAAAACTCACTTCCTCTGTTTCTATTGCATTCAGGTTAGGTCTAAAAGTATTAATAGAGCACCACAAAAGTGTTTGAAATCATGCAAAAATGTGCATTACTGTAGTTGGGAAAGATTTCATTTAAAAAAGTAGTCATAAAAAAGTTTTTTTTTGTGTGTGAAGTGCATCTTGATGCACTTTTATTATCTCATCTACCTAAGTTTGCTGGCCTTCTTTTGCACATGAGGATGGGATGGTCTGGAACAAATTATTCATTCCTTCTGAAAACACAAAGCAACATCACTGTGATTGTGTGTCATCATAAAGAATTATATTAGAGGTTATTTACTGTACTTTGAGCACTGTGTCTGACAGACAAGGGATCCTGAAGCGTGTATGAAAATGATGGGATGTAAACAGTTGTTCCATTATAGTATGTAGAGTAAAGGTACATTAATCCCATAACCCTAGAAGATAGGGCTGTTACTAATCAAATACAATCAGCATCAATAAAATACATCCTTCGATTGCCACAGTGGCACAGAAGATACATCAGATGTGTCATTCATTCATTAGTAACGAAGAATTCATGTTTTAAAATTATTCTTTGTTTGCTGTGAGCATTTTGCATGCTGTTTATGTGCCCCAGTACATAAAAAAGCAATGTTATTTGACATGTCTGTTAAATGCAGCTAAGTTGTAACACAACTGTGATGCAGAAAAAAATACAATTCCAGTTGTATCAATAATGGCATTGTGTTAATGTTTTGTTTATAGAATTTTTTTCATATAAAAATATGACATGTCAGTGGCAATCCCAATTTAAATATTATGCCCTTAAATTATACACTATGGCATTTAGACAACTGGCTTGTTATCAGTTTCATAATTAAAGATGTAATGACTTTTTGAGTCTGGGGCATAATGGTAACAAAATTCATTAACATATTCATGTTTAAAGCCAAATAATAATAAAGTGAAATATAAATCCTGCTCACCTGTTATCTTGATAGACAGACACAGCACAGTGAAAGTAAAGTGGGAATTGCAGAGATTTTAACCTCAGAGAGTTCTTTTGAGACTTGCATGAAAAAAGCACAATAGAAGTGTTTCAAATAATGCTCACAGATAATATTGTGTGTGTGTGTGTGTGTGTATGTGTGTGTGTATGTGTGTGTGTGTGTACAATACCTTTACCTTCTAGTGAAAGTTGTAGATAAGATCTCAATGGTGCATCTAGTCATCCAAGTCCAGTCCTTCAAGGATTAGTTCACGAAGCTTAAGGTAAAGGTCTGTAATTTCATAAACATCATCTGACAATGCAAGGTTATGTTCATCCATCAGTTCTACGCACAGTTGAAAGACATCCTCATCACAAGGGTAGTCTTTAACTAAACACTCCTCTTTGCAAATACTCAGCTTTGTTTGTTCAATTGGATGCAAGAAATTCTGCACTCCATATAAGCTGGGAACAGCAAACATTATTGAAGGTCGACCACTGGGAGCACGTGGATTGTGAGTTGGCCGTATCCTGTGGCAATTCCAGGCACTGACTATTTCATCAAGCTCTTCCTTTATAAAATAAAAGCAACAAAATTAAATTAATAAACACACTGTAAACTGCATATTGTAGGCTATGTAAATATTAAGTTAATCTTTAACGGCAATATTGTTTTTATGATTAAATAAACTATAGTAAACCAAATGTTACCTGTATAGAATGCTGGAAACAAAACTGGATGAGAGATTTATCAATGAAACTATCAACAAAGTGCCCATCTTCTTTTAGCTGTTCAAAATGATCCATCCAAAATTGTATGCACTGACTTCTCAAAGTGGACCACCATCGTTCAATTCTCTGGTTCCCCGTGCTTGGACCAAGCGTGACAGATTCGGCACTAGCAGTGCCTCTGAAGAATGTCTGCATATCTGCTAAATGCGTATTTTCAGTTCCATGGTCAATGCGAATTCTATGTGGAAATCCGTTATTCTCAGCAACAGCTTGTATGAAATAACCCGCAATTACTCGTGGGTCATTGTTCGTTTTGTATGCTTCAAGCCAGATCATTTTTCTGGAAAACCCATCAATGCATCCGTTTATGCATATTCCGTAAGGTTTCAACTTGTCGTACCCGTCAATATGCCAAACATAGTTTGGTCCGCGGCTGTTATACATGCGTCGCCGCAGACGACCGCGAGCGCGCAGGTCAACTCCCTGTCCATCTAACAGCCGCATCAACTGACGGACAGTTTCTCTGTCTGTAATAATGCCAGAAAGCCAACATTTCTGGTGCATCCAACGATATCCATGTTGTCGTCCCGATGTCTGTAGCTGTTGGTGTATAAAACGTGCCACGTCGGCCTCGTCTGTTTTATTGCGTCTCCGCCACAACTGATTCATACATAACGTTCTCTCAAGAGTCCGCAAACTAAACTTTATGTTGTGTGATTCCTCCAATAAAATTAAGATTTCTCTATTAGTAAAACCGCACCAAAAATAATCCTCTATAATCTTTTCCATTTAGGCTATAGCCTTCATAAGAAGGTCCAGCGATGTAACCTACTTCCATGCCATACAGATAAGACTCAGATAAGCCTTTTTTCTCTGAATTGCGAGATATAAACTCAGAATTCTGACATAATAACTCAGAATTGCGACTTAATAACTCTGAATTACGATTTTATAACTCAGAATTCTGACTTAATAACTCGGAATTGCGACTTAATTACTCAGAATTGCGACTTAATAACTCAGAATTACGACTTTATAACTCGGAATTCTGACTTTATAACTCGGAATTACGACTTTGTAACTCCGAATTTTGACTTAATAACTCGGAATTGCGACTTTATAACTCAGAATTTTGACTTTATAACTCGGAATTGCGACTTAATAACTCAGAATTCTGACTTTATAACTCGGAATTCTGACTTTATAACTCGGAATTGCGACTTTATAACTCGGAATTACGACTTTGTAACTCCGAATTTTGACTTAATAACTCGGAATTGCGACTTTATAACTCAGAATTTTGACTTTATAACTCGGAATTGCGACTTAATAACTCAGAATTCTGACTTTATAACTCGGAATTCTGACTTTATAACTCGGAATTGCGACTTTATAACTCAGAATTCTGACTTTATAACTCGGAATTCTGACTTATTAACTCAGAATTCTGACTTTTAAATTTTCTTTATATTATCATTAATTTTTTTTTTATTATTAATTCTTTTTCTTTTTTTTATTCAGTGGCGGGAACGGGCTTCCATAGGAATCACTCGAGGGCGAGTGAATTAAAATTTTTCGGGGAACTAATCCCTTTAATAGTGTGATCAGTATGTGTTTGTGCTGTAGCACCCTCTTGCGGTCAGCAGCGGTCATGCAGAGTAGCGTAGCTCCTCCTTTATCGTCGTCATCACCATCGTTTCTCTTTCATTGCAGGACTTTCTTTCCGTAAACACTGACAGCAGAGCTTTCATGTGAAGCGAACTCATGACTTGCGTTACAATAACTGGATTTGGAGTGGGCTTGTAGATCAGAGACTGAGCCTGAGTGAATCCGCTGCGTTTACTTCATCGCCTCGATGGTCAAGTTTGACTGGTCATCATGATGCTTTCACGTGAGTCAGCAGAGACACACACACTACAGATTTATTAGGGCTTGTAATATCAGAACATTCACGCTATAAGGGATGATTAGCTTAGTAAAGCAATTAGCGCAATGTAAACAAACGGTAGACAATAATGTCACTGAATGCGTCAGACGCTGCGTTATAAAACGGTCACTGAGGCACTCCTCTGCTGGACGGTTTGTGTTATAACCAAATGTTGTGGTGTTGTATTATTCTGTTAAAGAGATCACTTGTGTTTTTCGCAGCTTGTTCGCTATTTAAAGACTATTGGCTAGCGTTCTGCATTGTTGCTTTATTTAGAAATGTAACACCATTCAAGCTTGTTTAATGTTTACACCGGTATTATCATTATAACCAGCATTTACTATGTTTTTTACATGGTCTGTTAAAGAATATTACATAACGTGCTTCGAAGCTACTCGCATGAAAACTTACTAGTACTTTACTGAAGTGTCTTTGCACTATACACCAACACTATTTAATTCTGCATACAGTAGTAGTAACTAATTAAATTTCATTCATTCATTTTCTTTGCGGATTAGTCCCTTTATTAATCTAGGGTCGCCACAGCGGAATGAACCAACAACTTATCCAGCATATGTTTTACGCAGTGGATGCCCTTCTAGCTGCAACCCATCACTGTGAAACACCCATACACTCTCATTCACACACACACACTATGGACAATTTAGCTTACCCAATTCACCCATACCACATGTCTTTGGACTTGTGGGGGAAACCCACACAAACACGGGGAGAACATGCAAACTCCACACAGAAATGCCAATTGACCCAGCCGAGGCTCGGACCAGCGACCTTTTTGCCGTGAGGCGATCGTGTTATCCCCTGCGCCACCATGACGCCACCTGATTGAATTTATTAACTTTAATAAATTCTGTAATATTCTTAATTTTGGGTGACACAGTGGCTCAGTGGTTTGCACTGTCGCCTCACAGCAGGAAGGTTGCTGGTTCGAGTCCTGATTGGGCAAGTTGGCATTTCTGTGTTTGCATGTTCTCCTCGTGTTGGCATGGGTTTCCTTCGGGTGCTCCGTTTTCCCCCACAGTCCAAGCACATGCGCTATGGGTGAATTTGCCATGGTGTACGTGTGTGAAAGCAAGAGTGTATGAGTGTTTCCCGGTTTTGAATTTTGGCTAGAAGGGCATCCGTTGTGTAAAACATGTGCTTAATAAGTTGTCGGTTCATTCCGCTGTGGCGACCCCAGATTAATATGGGGACTAAGCTGAAAAGAAAATGAATGAATGAATGATTTCTTAATTTTTACTACAGTAAGCTGTGGTGTACGGATGTAAAATATACCCTATAGTTGTAGAAAACTGCAGTGTGGCAGGTCATTTCTTTATTTAGTGTTATCGCAGAGGCAGTTTCATTAGCTTGAGTACAAAAATGTCATTGAATGAGCGTAACGAATTAATGAGTTAAACATAAAAGTCTTATTTGTAATAATTATTTAAAACCCACACAATTGCTTACAATTATTAGCCTACACACAAACACATAAACAGCTTGTAATGAAGATTTATATACAGTTGAAGTCAGAATTATTAGCCCCCTTTTGATTTGTTTTCTTTTTTAAATGCTTCCTAAATGATTTTTAACAAAGCAAGGAAATTCTCAAAGTATGTCTGATAATATTTTTTCTTCTGGGAAAAGTTTTATTTGTTTTATTTTGGCTAAAATAAAAGCAGTTTTTAATTTTTTAACACCATTTTAAGGACAAAATTATTAGCCCCTTTAAGCTATTTTTTTCGGATAGTCCACAGAACAAACCATCATTATACAATAACTTGCCTAATTACCCTAACCTGCCTAGTTAACCTAATTAACCTAGTTAAGCCTTTAAATGTCACTTTAAGCTGTATAGAAGTGTCTTGAATAATATCTAGTAAAATATTATTTACTGTCATCATGGCAAAGATAAAATAAATCAGTTATTAGATATTAGTTATTAAAACTATTATGTTAAGAACTGTGTTGAAAAAGTCTCACCTTGGCATGCAAGAGATCTACAAAGTTGATGGCAACATCAACAGCCTGAGGTATCGAGACATTTGTGCTGCCCATTACATTACAAACCACAGGAGAGGGCAAATTCTCCAGCAGGATAGCGCTCCTTCTTATACTTCAGCCTCCACATCAAAGCTCCTGAAAGCAAAGAAGGTCAAGGTGCTCCAGGATTGGCCAGCCTACTGACCAGAGATGAACATTATTGAGCATGTCTAGGGTTAGATGGAGGAGGCATTGAAGATGAATCCAAAGACTCTTGATAAACTCTGGAAGTCCTGCAAGAACCCTTTCTTTGCCATTCCAGATGACTTTATTAATCAGTGATTTGAGTCATGTCAGAGATGTATGGATGCAGTCTTCCAAGCTCATGATGGAGTCAGACACAATATTCATTCTGTCTCCACTGCAGCAGGACTTTATATTCTATACTGGACATTATTTCTGTTCAGTAACAAGACTTTTGTCTAAGCAAAGTCAGACCTTATTGTCCTAATTAAATCATTAAAAATCAAGGAATAATCATATTTTATTTTGTTAAAATAAGCATCATCTAGCGGCCTTTGCCTTTCATATAAGCCACTCCTGACACCAAATGATCAACTAGAAGTCAACTTATTATTTGTTGTCCCTAAAACTTGGATAGGCGACAAGACTTTTGTTAGGTAGTGTACAGTTTGATGAGATTCCATTACAGTAATCCACTCTACTGCTGCTAAAAGCATGAACAAGTTTCTCTAATCCTCACTGGAAACAAAGCATCTAAGTCTTGCAATGTTTTTGAGATGATAGTATGCTGATTTACTTACTGCTTTGACATGACTACTGAAATTCAGATCTGACTCCAGTATAACACCCAAGATTTTTGAGCTTATTTTTTGTTGGTTGACCCCTAGGGCCAAGGTTTGCATTCTCCTTAAGTGATTGTGAAGTAGTGCAACATAAAACATTTGTTAGAAGGAGTTTAATAAAGTGTATAGAGAGAAGAATGTTTTGACAGGTGGTTTGTCAAGCCCACTGACCACCTAAGTGCCGAACCTTTGCCTAGTAAAAGCTCTATGGTGGGAAAAAATATTAATAATAATAAAATACAACTGTGTCTGAAAGATTGGACACAGAAGTGATTTCAGGTAGATTTCTGAGACCGCATATTGATTTAATCATGTAAAACAAAATAAAGAGAGCTTTTAAAAAAGGAAATCTGTATCAAATCCACCAGTTTGCTAACAAAGCTAAGTTAACAAAGCTTAAATATTTAATATTAAATAAAGCTTAAAAAAGTTAACAGAGCACAAATAAGTGTGAAATAAAGTGATGATCGCTCCTCAGCTGCTTCCAGTGTCTTGATCTGTAAATAAATGTCTTGTGTTGTATTTGACAGTCCTCGTTGGGCCAGAGGGAGCATGTGGGAGTCACATGAGTGCGGGAGATGAGCAGTAAACAGGCCGCCCTAGCATGAACAGCACCACTCAGCCTCCTCACTCCGTCAACGGAGACGCGGCCGTGGGCTACGTGCTCGTGCCCTTCTTCCTCATCACCGCCATCGGGATGGTGGCCGCAGCGGTAGGACACTCTACTGGCTCCTCAGGGTGTGTGTGTGTGTGTGTGTGTGTGTGGAGGGCGAGAATGTAAGGGCGCATGATGGAGTAATTTGATTGAGCTGAACATCCACAAAAACAAAAGGTCTTTCTTTTGTGATGAATGCATCAATGTGTGCGCTAATGCTGGTCAGCTGCGTCTCTTCTGTTTTTAATGGCTGAGGCAGACGGATAGGCAGTGTTAAAGCGATACTTCACTTTCATTTATTCACGGTTTCAAGTGGGTTTAAGCCTTTGTGAGATTGTTTCTCCTGTTGAACACACTTCATAAATAAACATTGGCTTCCTTATACCAATTTCCAACATTCTTTTCGGTTCTACAGAAGAAAGAAACCCAGATTTGGATCAAGTGGAGGATGAGTAAGGCTAGATCTACACTAAGTTTGCAAATAACGTTTTCGGCTAAAAACACTCCATGTCCACACTATCCTTCTCGTTTTTTTTTTTCCATATTCAACACTAAAATGTCACAAAAATGTTTTTTTTAAAGTACTGAGATATTAAGGTGCTTTTACCTGAGTCTGCCTGCCGTTTATTTACTTTCTGTCTCTTTGAAACATTGCAGCAAAATGTCATACTCGTAACAGGCGATGACAGGTAATGCTTGAAATATAAACGTCATGTCTGTTGTCCTAAGATGCATCAATTATGTCAGGTTTCCATTTTTCTTGTGCTTGAATGTTAAAACAGCCCTTCTATAAATTGTAAGTCACTGAAATGACCCCCCGCCAATTTGAGTTTGAGACCCCTGCTTTAAATGGTGTTGCAGGATTATATGTGTCTACTATGTTTTTTGCAATGCAATGTTAATAGATCTCTTTTGTTTTGTAGGTGATGTACATAAGGAGGAAACGCAGGTACGTAAACACAAGCCAGTACAGTTTGAAAGAAATGCATTGGATACAATATTGTAATTATTATTTGGGGATAATTAAGCTTTTCGGGTTCCCACGACTTATTTAATTTCAAAAAGTCTATTACAGACATTGAAAGTCAGGGGATATAGTTGAACTCTAAATTATTAACCCATTTTAAAAACGACCATCCTTGTTAACAAGGGGAGTCAGAGGAGAGGGTCCACAATTAGCTTTATTTAACAGAATTGTCACAGGAGGCAATAATCAAAACAGGCACAAACAGGAGCTTGCAGAAATTCCAAAAGCGTAGTCAAAGTACAGGTAAATGGTGGAACAGGTGGCAAAACAACAGAAATAATAAACAAGGCGAAGATCAAAAACACTGCAAGGCTAAACATGGAGAACGCGTTGAATTGCTCACAGCTTACAAGACTCAGCCAAGTGTGTGTGTGTGTGAGTGAGTGAGATGTATTTTATAGTCCTGGTTATCAGTCCATCATGAGCCTCCAGCAGTGTGTTATCAGGGGGAATCAGGATCTGGTGTGTGCGTGCAAAGTCTTCTGGGTGTTGTAGTTCATTTAAGTGCATATTGTAGTTCTTCAGCAATCTGCACAGGCTATATCGCTGGTGATTGACAATCCTTTTATTCACATCATCCATTTCTCAGTGAATATGGGTAATATATTTTGTTGCGTTTTAACAAAACAGATTTATTAAACAGATATATTTAGTCAAATAACATTTTAGTCACCAAACATATTAAAAAACAGAAAGATAATACATTTAAGTTCATGTGAAATATTGCAAATAAATATTACAAACTACAAAATCTCAACAATTTTTTTCCAATTCTCTTAATTGTTTTTGATCTTTTAAATATTGTTAAATTTAATATTTTGCTCTAGCACTACAAATTTTTGGACCATAATCACAAGTTATTTTGTTAGATAAGCTCTAGATTTAGTAGTCTGGGAATTTAATATTAGAGTTGGAACCCTGTGTTTGGTCCCATTTTGAATTAAGGGGCCTTAACTACTATGTACTTACATTTAAATGAATCGTTTAGTAAGTTTTTACATTATACTTTTATTTATTTATATATATATATATATATATATATATATATATATATATATATATATATATATATATATATATATATATATATATATATATGCTTGTAATTACATCTGTCACCTTTTAATGTAATTACATTTATACAGTGCTCAGCATAAATAATTACAGCCATTTAGATAATGACCATCCATGTTATCAAGGGGACTTGGCTGACAACGGAGGTAAAGATCCACGTACAGCTTTATTTAACAGAATCGTCAGGCAGGCAATGGTCAAAACAGGCACAAACAGGAACAGAAATTCCAAAAAGCGTAGTCACAGGTGAATGGTCGGGACTGGCGTCATGAAAACAGAAAACAATAGACCAAGCAAGAGTCAAAAACACGACAAGGCTAAACAAGGAGAACGTGTTGAATTGCTGACTTATAGCTTATAGGACTCAGCCAAGTGTGTGTGTGTGTGTGTGTGTGTGTGTGAGTGAGGTGTTTTTCTAGTCCTGGTTATCAGTCCATCATGAGCCTCCAGCTGTGTGTTATCAGGGGAATCAGGATCTGGTGTGTGTATGTGTGCAAAGATCTCTGGGTGTTGTAGTTTATTTAAGTGGCATATTGTAGTTCTTAAGCAGTCTTATTGCTGGACATTATCCATTTCTCAGTGAATATGGGTAATATATTTTGGTGCGTTTTAACAAAACAGATTTATTAAGCAGATATATTTATTAGTTACCGAACATCTTAAAAAACAGAAAGATAATACATTTAAATTCATGCAGAATATTGCAAATAAATATTACAAACTACAAAATGTCAACAAAAATGTTTTTGTTTTTTTTCTTCTCTTGATTTTTTACCTTTTTATTACCTTTTAGTTTAATATTTTGCCCTAACACTACTATTTTTTGGAACGTTATCGTAAGTTATTTTATTAGATAAGCTCTAGATTTGGCTTCAGTACTGACTAAACTAATGTTTATGCGCAAATATAATATTGTAAAGCTTCTTGTAGAAAATATTAATTTAAATGAGAGATTCGTGAGGGCTGTTCTTATATATGCTGAGCATGAGTTTTGCATTTCTTACACTGTAACCCACCCTTAAACCCACCCACACTCCCTAACCTGACCCATATCCCACCTCAATAGCACCATAGGTGTTGTGTAATACTGTAAGAACACAGTAAGTACACTGTATTAATGTTTTTATGCACGTTCACAGTAGTTAAGTTCACTTAATATTAAGTACGACCAGCTTTTTTTAATATTAAGTACGACCAGCTTTTTTTAATGTTTTAAAGTATTGATTACGCATAAGTAAAACTATTAATGTAGTGTAAAATAAAACATGTAATTTAAATTAGATTTAATTTGAAATAAATTGAGTAAACAGAATAATTATTACAGTCTTTATTGTCACATGATTTGTCTGAAATCCCTTTAAAATGATCATTTGGTCTTGTGTTTATCATTATTATTCCTGCTATTATCATTATTTGAGCTAAATTATTCATATAAATAATGCTTTATCAAGGTTTTGTTCTCATCAGTGTTGATGTGTCTTTCATTTGGATTGTTGAAAGCACATTTTTATGAACAGATCTCTTTTGTTCATAGATGTCTCTCTTTAATTGTATTGTATTCTCGGCGAGGACACATGAAACTGATTTCAGTGCTGATAATAGACATGGATATTTCTCGATCATCTGATTATCTTGTTAGTGATTGTGAAGGATCATGTGACACTGAGGGCTGCTGTGATGATGATGATGATGATGATGATGCTGAGAGGTCTTTGGATTGGTGGATCTATGAGTGTATTCAGATGGAGTAGCGCTCGTTCACTGTGAGAGCACAATCAGCTTCTGTTATTAGCAGCTGCATTATTCTGTGCTGAACACTGCATTTGGGGACAGAGCGAATAACAGTGAAGCAGAATCAGACATTTATTTGTATGTGCATATGTGTGTGTGTATGTGCATGTGTGTGTGTGTGTGTGTGTGTGTGTGTGTGTTTTGTATTTGTGCTTGTCTTTGTGTGTGTTTGTTTTTTGTGTTTGTTTGTGTGTTTTTCTGTTTGTGTGTGCTCTTGTGTGTGTGTGTAATGTGTGTGTTTGTGTGGTTCTGTATTTGTGGTTGTCTTTGTGTGTGTTTAGTTTTTTGTGTTTGTTTGTGTGTTTTTCTGTTTGTGTGTGCTCTTGTGTGTGTGTGTAATGTGTGTGTTTGTGTGGTTCTGTATTTGTGGTTGTCTTTGTGTGTGTTTAGTTTTTTTTGTTTGTTTGTGTGTTTTTCTGTTTGTGTGTGCTCTTGTGTGTGTGTGTAATGTGTGTGTTTGTGTGGTTCTGTATTTGTGGTTGTCTTTGTGTGTGTTTAGTTTTTTTTGTTTGTTTGTGTGTTTTTCTGTTTGTGTGTGCTCTTGTGTGTGTGTGTAATGTGTGTGTTTGTGTGGTTCTGTATTTGTGGTTGTCTTTGTGTGTGTTTAGTTTTTTGTGTTTATGTTTATGTGTTTTTCTGTTTGTGTGTGCTTGTTTGTGTGTGTGTGTGTGTTTATGTGTGTGCTTGTTTGTGTGTGTGTGTGTCTGTGTTGTGTGTACATCCATGTGTGATTGTTTTTCTGTTTTTGTATGTGTGTGAGCGTGCATGTGTGTGTATTGTGTGTGTCTGTGTGTTTGTATAGAGTGTGTGTGTGTGTGCATCCTTGTGTGTTAGTGCTTGTCTTTGTGGGTCGATTTGTGTTTGTGCTTGTGTGTGTATGTGTGTTTTTGTGGATAGTTTTGTGCGTTTTTTGGTCTGTTTGTGTGTGTGTGTGTTTGTGTTTGTGTGTGCTTGTTTGTGTTTGATTTTGTGTATGCACACGTGTGTGCATGTGTTGTGTGATTGTTTTTCTGTTTTGTATGTGTGTGAGTGTGTGTGTGTTTATGTGTGTGCTTGTTTGTGTGTGATTTTTGTGTGGGTGTGTGTGTGCATGCATGTGTGATTGTTTTTCTGTTTTTGTATGTGTGTGTGTATTTCTGTGTTTGTTTTTGTGTGTGATTGTGTGATTGCTTGTGTGTTATTGTGCGTGTTTTTTCTGTATTTGTGTGTGTGTGTGTGTGTGTGTGTTTTTTCCTATTTTGCGTTTGTGTCCGTGTGTGTGTTGTTTCTGTTTTTGTGTAATTATTTGTGTGTGTGTGCACTCAGGATCGACAGACTCCGGCATCAGCTTCTTCCAGTCTACACGTATGACCCGACAGAAGAGCTGAACGAGGCTGAGCAGGAGATCCTGTGGAAGGAGGAGGACACGAAGGTAAACCCTCCTGCCGTGATTAATATTACAAACACTGACGGCACAGATACACAAGAGCTGTCGAGCAAGTCAGAATTATTAGCCCTCCTGAATTATTAGCAACAATAAGCGTAAGTATTAAAGGCATAGTAAGCATATTAATCACAAGTTTGTTAAAAGGAAATAAAAGGGGACCGAATTTTTTAAATAACAAAACCTTGTCTATTAGGGAATACCTGATTTTTTTCCAGATGTCTTAAAAATTCTTCGATTTGAATTTGAATTTGAATTTAAACGTACTACTCAGCCGTTAGAAAAGTACGTTCTATACAGTATGAACGTGAAAAGTATGAATGGAATTCGGACGTACTACATCCGCCGATTTTTCATTGTCACGTGACCTACATGCGTCAGTTGCGTCGCTTTACTTCCATTCATGAATTCGCTCGTGGGGCATCATGGGATAGCGCAGCATGCATGCGATGCGCACTCCAGAACATAGTAACACATAGTAACATAGTAAGTCATCCGGGTACTTCTGGCATACTGATGAATTCGGACATACTACTCGGCTCGCATACTGATTTTAGCGTCCTATATAGTATGGAAGTATGCGTTTTCGGACGAAGCCAATGTCTTGGGCTAATGGAACATCTGTGAACCAGTTCAAGACTTTGTTCCCAAATTTCACTTCCCAAGCAGATTTAATGTTCTCTATAGATGGACTTTTCATCTAAAGCAAGAAAATGTTACAGGACATCTTTGCAGAAATTTGTCCAGATTAGGCGCATGCACACATAGGGCTCAACCTGTGGCTGACAACGCACATGTGCACATGCACTTTTTAGTCTTGAATAGAAAGTGCCCTTCCAAAATGATCAAAAGTGCCCCCGCGACCCCCCCTCCCCCTACTGCCCTTCAGTAGGCGCGCGACAACACCGCTCTTGAGTAGCCCAACCCACCCCACTGCTTTACATTACACGCGCGACAACACCGCTCTTCAGTACGCGCGCGACAACAATAACATCAACACCCCACCCCTCCAGCCCCGCTCTTCAAAAAATTTATCCTGCGCATGCCCTTTGGACAGTCTCTGCACGGGCCTGGTCCAGATGCATGGGTGATGTCGTGGCATAATTACTAATGTTAGACTTTACAAAGTTTCTTATTTAAAGGTATCTAAAGAAGTGATTAGAATAAGTACTGTATTTCTCACACTGCAGCTAAGAAGAAGCAAACTTTCCATCTACATATAAATCCCCTACTTTTCGTAATCCTACACTTTTCCAAAACTCAAATGCATTGAAGGGCGAAAAGCGGGGTTAGCTAAGATGGAGAGCAAAAATGACATTTTCTGATTTGTTTGATTCGTTCTTCTCTCTCTGCTTTAATCTCTCAAATGATTGCTGTCCTGCCCCAATAAAGATGAAAATATCCCAATATTGTGTATCAAGTTTTTAGAAAAAGTCAGTTTTTATGAAGGTTTTGTTGCATTTACACAGTTCTGACCACCAGGCGTCGCTAGAGTGCAGTGTTTTGAACACTTGAAAGCAGTGAATCATTTTGCAAAGCAATTGGTTCAGTTGTTTTAAATCTTTGAAGAGCCTACTTTCTACCATACATTTTAGCTCTGTGACTGTAACACCATGTCCTAACAACACACGACGCTGCAACACCTGATTAAAGGCATCTTTTCCATGTTAAAAGGAGTTTTTGTCCAAACAATCAGCAGTGGCAGTGTGCAGAATTTCTATTTAAGAAATGCTTTCTATTTCTGCTACGTCACGGCAGAACGACAGCATATACCAATGATCACCTCAGGGACTGATTATGTGCTTTATTCAGAGTTCAATGCTGCCAGTGTGAGATTGAATACCATTTTACATGACGTCTGTTGTCAAACTACTGAAAGCAGAAGCAGATCACCTCAGATCTTGAAAATTGAATAACTAGCAGACGGTTTGAAAATGAAAGTCAGAATTGTGCACATCAACAACATTTGACATTCAGTTTCAGAATAATAATGTAAATGAGTTTTAATATGTATTAAATAGATTGAAAACCTTTACCATTCGTTTGGGAGAGCAGTGGATGGTGTTTAATGTTTCTGTTGTGTTGCGTTTAGTACAGACTAATGGCCCGTTTCCACTGAGTGGTACAGTACGGTTTGGTTTGGTTTGGTACGCTTTTATGGCCGTTTCCACTGTCAAAAGCGTACTGAACCAAACCGTACCATACCACTTTTTTGGCACCCTTTCGAAACGGTCCCAAACAGGAGAAAAGGTACCAAAAGGTGGAGCTACACATGCAGCTGAACGCTGATTGGTTGCAGAGATACGTCACGAGCTCCTGGAGCTACACAGAACGTAAACAAAGGAACCGCCATGTTTTTTAAAATACAAAGCCGAGACATTACATGGAAATACTATATGCATAATAACCAGCTATGGATGACCCGAGCACAAACAAAACTTGCTGTCGTCTCTGTGAACAGACACAAAGCCAAGAAGAAAAATCTGCCGTGTCCTGTTGTTGTTTTACGAGCCCGTCTAAAAGTGCCAGCGGTATTCGCTTTCTTCCGGGAGCGCGCGATCGCGTCTATATTTAATATATCGAACTTCTTGAGCTGTTGATAAAAGGAGTGTGATTATTGAAGTGTCTCCGTCATCTGATCCATTCAGGGAAAAAAGGGCAAACGCGAGAGTGAAGCGAGAGTGAAACGCGGAAAAAAGAGAAGCCGTCAAAACACAGGAGCAAAAGTGTTTTAGCAACCTGAATCATGAACAAACTGCCATGTTGATCTTCGTATTTTGGACTATTATGAACTAGGAATGACAAAATGACTCTCTAACAGAGCTTACATGTGCTGCTGAAGATTACAGACACAGATGAGAGGTTTGCGCTGACTCTGGGCTATATTGCGTGTGTTTTTGAACTCAAATAAGTACTAAATGTTTGCTGTTTGTAATTTTTCTGTAATGAATAATATATCGGAGACTGTAAGGGGCTGTATGTGTTCATATATGCTGTATTTATGTATTTATTTTATATAATTGCAGACGTTACAGTAGCCTATTTCATTGATCTGCAGTTATAATCAACTCCTGTTCATAGAAAAGTTAGTAATAAACATTTGTAAACAAGGATTTATATGTGTAAAGCATCTGTTTTGAGAAGTGCTGCTCATTATGATGTGAACGACCCGTACAGCTTTACTGTAGACATTTATTTGAGCGTGCATGACGTTGACTTAAACTTTGTGTGGTTTATATATAAACTAATTTCGAGAGGATCACGTGCTTATAATCAACACGGCTGGCTCCTTGTTAGCTCCGTAATCAGCCCTATTAGATGCTTACGGAAGCATTATAAATAACCTGAGTTTTTCACTCCAGTTATCTTCGTCTTGAAGCTCCCCCCCTTTCCACCCCTACATCCTCCCCCTTTTTCTGATCGGGCGACACGGTGGCCCAGTGGCTAGCACTGTTGCCTCACAGCAAGAACACCGCTAGTCCAACCCATCGGGCTGGTTGGTGTTTCTGTGTGGAGTTTGCATGTTCTCCCCGTGTTCGCGTGGGTTTTCCCCGGGTTCCCCGGTTTCCTCCCACCGTCTAAAAACATAAACCATAGCCAATCGACTAAAACAAATTATCACCCAATACAACCTGAGTTTACACTTCTCACGGTGACAAGCAGGGGAGTTCTCGAGACCTACCTGACCTCGAATTCCCCTTTCGCCCTTCTAACGGGAGGGAGCCCCGGGCTCGAGGATATTACGAGCTCAGGGCTCTCTCCCGGGACAGCATGCCAAATACGCTTTATTGATTATCAGCTAAGTGTGAACTCTTGAAGTCATACACCACACCTACAAAAAGGGTACCCTTTGTGGTGGAAAAGCAAGCCTGATAAAGGTGACCCGTACCGACCCGAACCGTACCGTACTGTACCAGTCAGTGGAAACGAGGCGTAATTGCTTGTCGCTGGAATCTTGTTGTGTGTTGTTAGGACACGGTGTGATATGTGTCTGTGCTATGACTGTGCTTGCAGGTTGTCCAGGGTTGGATGAGGACCTACCAACAGCGTAGACCACTGCTGCCGAAGGATCCTGATGCATGAAAATGAAAAAGGTTTGCTGGAAAGTCTTCAGATTCTGCACACTGTCAGATTAATATCTCGTCACTCTGTTCATTGTCACGTCATGCTGTATTGCAGATTCACTGGATGGACGTTTCTGAGCAATAAACTACTGTGTTTGCCCAATGAAGATGGGTTGAGGAGAGCTTTAGTGATGTGGCAGATCTGGAACCTCAGGTCTCCTCTCGCTCAACATGAAGTGCAGCTGTGCTTTTCTGAATGGAGGAGGCTGATTCGCCGCTGTGGCGATTATATTTATTTGGGTTTTATGTATTCTGCTGATGTTCTGTGCTATTAAATCCTCATGAAAGATGATCTTTGTGTGATCTGCTCAGCGTGAGGGAACCAATCCCAGGTATGAGGCATTGTGCTAAACCAGCGGTTCCCAAACTGGGGTGCGCAGTTTAAACACCAGTGTTGCGCGATAAGTTTGTAATGGTGGAAAATTTGATCTTTTATTATTTTTATGCATTTATCTTGGGTAAACTTCACATGTCATATTTTTTAGAGAAAAGAAATTCTCTGAGAGAGAGAAAAATCACATTACAATTTGTAATTTACACCCTTTACATACTCGCGGTTTCATGTCTGCGTCACAATAGCCCCGCCCCTTTTACATTAGGCGCTAAGCGATAGTACCATTTTTTTCGGTTACTATATTCGTCAAAACAGACACCTGGTGAAAAACTGGCACTTTAAAGAAGTCAAGTGACAGTAGGGATTAATGTTGGGCCGATAGACGCTGCCACCATGCATCGCCGATGGCCATTAGACAGCACGATGCTGAGCAGGCATCGTCGATCCTCCACCCCGCCCCCGTCGCGAGGCCATTTGCGAAAAATACACACTTACGCCCTGTTTAAACTAATACGTCTTAGTGTTAAAATGCCATTTTAGAACGAAAATGACCCACATTCACACAGGCTGCATCCGACACCGCATACTTCCATACTATATAGTATGCTAAAATCAGTATGTGAGCCGAGTAGTATGTCTGAATTCATAGAATTCGAAAAACAGTATGCGAGAAGTACCCGCATGACTTAACTACTTCTGGCAAGTTTCTGGAGTGCGCATCCCATGCACGCTTTGCTATCCCATGATGCCCCGCGAGCAAATTCATGAATGGAAGTAAAGCGACGCAAATTACGCAGGTAGGTCACGTGACCATGACAAAATGGTGGATGTAGTACGTCCGAATTACATTCATACTTTTCACATTCATACTGTATAGAACGTACTTTTCTAACAGCCGAGCAGTACGTTTAAATTCTAATGCAGTACCTACTGAGTAGTAGGCGGTTTCGGACGCAGCCGCAGTGTTTTACCTAGCATCTCTGAACAGCCCTCCGCCCGCTGAAAACGCACATCACGTGACCACACACATCCACACACTGCCATGCGCTCCTCTGAGCTCCAGAGAGAAGTGCACGTCGGACAGTTAATGAAAGATGTACCACTGGATCGCGTCTCACTATAGTTGTTAAACGTGATATTCAGACATCCCAAGTCTCGGAAGTTTGGGAAGTCTCTATGAATTTGCGGGACTCATATTGCCCGCAAACGAGTGATAATTTCCTGGAAATCCAGCGTCTTCCTCCCGGTCCTCACTTAAGTCGCGCACCTTTCTCAAGCCACCTTTCCACTGCACACGACAAGCGACAGACCGGAAGTCATTCATTTCCAATGGAGAGCAGTCCGGGAGTTCCGATCATCTCCGTATGCGGAAAATTCGGATCCGAATTGAGCTGCGGATCTGTTAAAAAATTTGAACTCCTGCGACTAGACCGCATGCCACCTACCGACTGGATATGATGTATTTTGTGTTGTCCAAGCAGGTCCGTGAGCGCGAGATGAGAAATAGGACTTTATTTGGTTATTTTTTGAATTATAAAAAGTCTATATTAAAGAAAAACTTTTCTGTTCATAAATGTAAGTAAGAAAGTAATAAAAATATGTATGCTTAATGTTGTCTCCACATTCCCTCCAATATTTTAGCGGTCTATGAGTTTCTAGTATTCATTCATCCATTAAACTATGAATGAAATATGAAACAGAGAAGGAAGGCTCTTGCTTTTGCACTCCTTTATTTCGTTGAGAATCAGCTTCTCTCCCATGGTGCACAACAACACTGAAAATACTGTGCGGCTGCCACAAGGGGGCGTATTCCTACAGTCGTGTCCAAATGTCGTGTGCAGTGGAAAGGCGGCTTCACCCTCGGATCCCTCCTCGCTCTTTAGACACATCGCGCGCACTGTCAAACTAAATTAAAGGCTTAACTAGGTTAATTAGGTTAACTAGGCAGGTTAGGGTAATTAGGCAAGTTATTGTATAACAATGGTTTGTTCTGTAGACTGTCAGAATATATATATAGCTTAAAGGGGCTAATAATGTCCTTAAAATAGTGTTTAAAAAATTTAAAAACTGCTTTTATTCTAGCCGAAATAAAACAAATAAGACTTTCTCCAGAAGAAAAAATATTATAGAAAATATTAAAAATGTGAAAATTTCTGTTAAAACCAGTCTGAGATGATTCTCGCTTTATGGCATCCTGCTGGAAGTAGCCTTCAGAAGATGAGTACACTGTGGTCATAAAGAGATGGACATGGTCAGCAACAATACTCAGGTAGGCTGTGGTGTGCCTAAATCCACTGAGTTGCTGCCATGTGATTGGCTGATTAGAAATTTGCATTAACGAGCAGTTGGACAGATGTACCTAATAAAGTGGCCGGTGAGTGTATAAGCTGGTGTGTTTCAAAACACAAAATTCACACTGAAATATTAGGAAAGAAGTGTTTTGCTTTGATGGTCTGTTAGTACTAAATGGCATGTGATGATGCTGAGTGAAATAAGTACTAAAAGTTTTATAAATGCACCAATTGCTTGTGAAAATGGCTCCAAACCAATGTAAAATAATCTGTAAGTGACTCAGCTTGTTGAGAGCGCGCTGCCAGCATTCAGTCTGACACATGCACTGGGAACGTCCTGAGCACACGTGCGTTTGATTTGGGATTCCCCTGAATGGGATGATGCATAAACCAAGCAATTGAACAAATAAAGAGCCCATCAATAATCCATCATGATGTTCCAAACACGGATGCCTTTCTTACTACAGAAGGTATTTTAAGTACCCCCGGAGTCACCGAAGTTCATTGTATGAACAAGAAGAAGAAAAAAAAAAAAGAGGGACATTTTTTAAAACACATTTAATTGTGCTCCACATAAGGAAGGACGTGCAGGTTTGATTAAGACAGGGTCTCTAAACTTTATTCATATGCCAGCTACTCATGTCACGTTCACTACATCTTTTGTATTGATTACACACACACACGTACATATATATATATATATATATATATATATATATATATATATATATATGAGCAATATCACACTAGTAGCAGTACGATATGGCTGTATTTCGGCACTGGTGGGAATATGCGGCCATATCGCACTGCTACGAGTGTGATATTGCGTTTATACAACAATTTGACGGCATAATTGTGTATATAAAAACAAAATCAAACATGGAGAGTCTCAAAAACCCTTTTGTATGAGGAACTACTTCCGCCTTGGATTCAAATCATAATCTGACAGTTAAACAGCTGTTAAAACAGTTAAAAGCATCTTTTAAACTTTAGATCTGTAGTGTCTGCTTTTTGCTGGCTGAATGTGGGCGGAGTAATACACAAAGGGTAAAGAGGCTGTAGGAGTTCTGATATTGCAGAATATTGCACGGGTATCAGCCAATCAGATTCGAGAACCAGACAGAACTGTTGTATAAGTATATATATATATATATATATATATATATATATATATATATATATATATATATATATATATATATATATTATTGTTTTACATTTTTAAGGAATATAATCAAAGAATGTGTAAGTTATACAGCGAAGAAACAGCAAATGAGATTTGATAGCTTAATT